AAAATGGCCATAGCAATAGTTGATTTTCCCATTAAACATGGTGATTTTCCATAGTTATGTTGTTTACCAGAGGGTATATAAATGATTTTTTTTTGGGGCGATGGCCTTTCAAAACCACCAGCCAAGAGTGGATTGTAAACACCGTCCTGATGAATGTACCATAAATTGACAAAGCCGTGTGCGAAAATGACAGGTATTTAGCCAGTATCGTTGCTGTACATCACTGTTGTTGATTATCAGTTTTGGATGGTTATATAATGTTATATAAACCCATGTGTTATATATATATATATATCATAGCCTTGCTTAATTCAGTTATATCCCATAATATCCGACTCTATGCGACAAAATTGGTTGTGTACATATCAACTTTTCGACCAACCAACCAGCGGGCTGCTACGAACATCACCGGCTGGTTGCGGGGACGCCATTTGCAAACCTGGTGACTTAATCATAGAGCATTGCAGAGCAACATCCCATCTTTAAAGTCAATAACCTAATTACATAATATTATATTTTTTTACAGTAATATGAGGGGGATACCACAAGATTGCAATAGGAGGTATGTAAGATGATCATGATTTGTTTGTTTGGGCCGCCTGGGCCTACAGTCCAGGCAAACAATAAACAACCAGATTTCAAAGAAATGCTGCATGCTGCTAGTGCTGCAATAGGCAGAAACAAAGTGAGTGCTCAATTCCTGTGATTGTTCTTGCATCACGGACAACTGCCAAAGATGATTAGTTGCCCGATAAGCAGTTTGATGAGGGTTTGTTTTTTGCGCAAACGGCATCAACCACCGGTGTTCTATGACTTCTAGAGGTATTTTGTGGTGAAGAGGTCAGAACAGTCCCTCGTAGTTTGGTATGTTTCACCTGATGCTTGATGATACTGTGATTTCTTATTATATAATTAGTAGTTTTGTCCCTATGTGTGGCGCTCCGAATTATCATTCCATTCTTGGTGGAGAACTCTGCCTGCCTGTTGGTCCATGCTGCGTTGAATCCAACATATTGTTGGTTTTCACCATCAATACCTCCGGTCATTTAGCAGTTTGTTATAGATTATGCCTCATATTGCCCCATTTAGAAAGCGATGATTGAACGATTTTGCTGTGCACAAACAGTGACAGATCACCCAAGCGTATCACACCATAGTCCCTTCATATGCATTCATAGCGACCCATGAATACTCCGTGATTATTCATTCATTACATTTCATTACTATCTCTATCTCATTCATATCCCCATTTACCAGAGGGTATCCAATCAGCGGGGGAAAAATTGGTCAGGCTAACTTTTTGGATTTGCTGCCACTTGGCGAAAATCACGGCTCGCATGCGTCGCATGCCGGCTCGCCGTAGACTTCAGGCATCTTGCAGAATAGTAGGGCCCCAAAAAAGATCGAAACTGTTTATCCAGGAGATTTGTTGTTAATGATGTATTCTCCAACAAAAATATCCAGCTGTCCAAGGGATTTTCTATCTATGACTGGGGTGTTGCTATTACATCACAACGTGCCAGGCATTTGCGGCGCACAGGCAGCGCACAGGCTTACAGTCAGTTTTGGATTTATAATTACTAGCCATGTTACTATGCACATTGTAATTATCGGAATTTTAGTCAATATATCATAGTGTTACAGCGATCATTTCCTAGCATGTGTGCACTATCCAATTTGCTCTTAGTGAGCGGCATACTTACCGCATTTTTACACGTTGCAGTTTTACCGGCCAATCACTGTCTACTTTTTTCTTGCCCACGGGAAAAAATGTAAAGATATACTAACTTTCGGCTTTAACATATTGCTCTCACTCACCCGGCATGGCCAACTAATCAGAATTTTGCTGCGTACTTGGATTCGCATCGCAGCTAGTAGGTTGTTACTAAACATCAAATCTAATTCAGTTGCGTTTAGGGTATACGCCACACGTAAAATGCACCCCCAAAGTAGAAAATCACCAATAAAAACCAAACTTCTTGATCGAAAAATTGGCGGCAGTACTGAGATTTGCTTGGACGTCCCACAAGTTCAGAAACACCAAAAGGATAATTTAAGTTGCGTTCATGCTGAAGCAAAATGCCGAGCCTAGATAGGTACTGTACTGTAAACCCCCAGTCTAGTAAGTAGGCCCTTCACATAGTGATAAATGATTATGACTGTATACTATATAAGGTACCGTATTTCCCACGTAAACATCATTAAGCGCTCAAATTCATCCGGGTCAGCGCTACCAGCAAAAAAGTCGCTTACTTCAGTTCTTCACATGACAATCATATGACAATCAGCTTCATCACAGTGTAAAGCGCACTTTTTTTCAAGAAAAAATAGTGCAATCTCATCAATTTGATTTTCACTAGTTTGTTTCCAACCTGTGAACCCCACATGGCTCGCAAAATCCATCCCCTTCCGGAACGCCGAGACATTCTGGGCTGCTGTGGCTGCTGTTGCTGCTGTTGCTGCTGCTGTGGCTTCGCCGTGTGCAAGATGGCCAAACCTGCGCAGCCGTGCCGTGACGATGTCATGGGGGATGGGGATGTCGGGACTTGGGCCAAGGGCAGGTGAGAAATCACCAGCAGATGTGATGAATATCGAAGAAAAACCGTGCTAAAAGATCAACATACTTGGTGATAAATAGCATCATGGTGATTTTTCATCAGATGTTGTGGGTTGAAGCATGTGAAATCATGGAAAACTTGGTTTAAAGAGTGTAAAGGAATATCATGAGGATAGAATTCGTGTGCAGAACCAACAATATGATATGGGTTCGCCCGTGTTTGTTCAACAAAGATTTTTCCCGAGAGCGTCTGAGCGCAGGGTTCTTCCAATAGTGGGGGTCTGTATCTCATCTTCTCATCTTCCCACCTTCTCATCTTCACACCTTCTCATCTTCACGTCTTCTCATTTTCACATCTTCTCATCTTCACATCTTCTCACTTCACATCTTCTCATCTTCTCATCTTCACATCTTCTCATCTTGACATCTTCTCACCTTGACATCTTCTCATCTTCACATCTTCTCATTTTCACATCTTCTCATCTTCACACCTTCTCATCTTCACATCTGCTCATCTTCACATCTGCTCATCTTCACACCTTCTCTCATATCTTTCCATCTTCACATCTGCTCATCTTCACATCTTCTCATCTCACATCTTCACATCTTCTCATCTTCACAGCTGCTCATCTTCACATCTTCACATCTGCTCATCTTCATATCTTCTCATCCTCACATCTTCACATCTGCTCATCCTCACATCTTCACATCTTCACATCTTCACACCTTCTCATCTTCACATCTGCTCATCTTCACATCTGCTCATCTTCACACCTTCTCTCATATCTTTCCATCTTCACATCTGCTCATCTTCACATCTTCTCATCTCACATCTTCTCATCTTCACATCTTCTCATCTTCACAGCTGCTCATCTTCACATCTTCACATCTGCTCATCTTCATATCTTCTCATCCTCACATCTTCACATCTGCTCATCCTCACATCTTCACATCTTCACATCCTCACATCTTCACATCTTCTCCTCTTGCCCTCTTGCCCTCTTGCCCTCTTGCCCTCTTGCCTTCTCCTTCTTTTCTATTTCTCTTCTGAAGGCGGGGGCAGGGGCAGTGCCAACGAGACAGCACGAAACGCAACCCTTTCGCACGAAATGAGGTTCGATCGCAAAAAACTGAGGTAAAATTGCGATTTCAACTTGTCCGGCGCAACCCTTACGCAAGAAACGCAATTCGATCGCCAAAAACTATATAATTGCGATTTCAACTTGTCCGGCGAAACCCTTTCGCACGAAACGAGGTTCGATCGTCAAAAATTGAGGTAACATTGCGATTTCAACTTGTCCCACGCAACCTTTTCGCACGAAATGAGGTTCGATCGTCAAAAACTGATGTAAAATTAACGAGTTCAATTTGCTCCGCGCAACCCTTTCGCACGAAATGAGGTTCGATCGTCAAAAACTGAGGTAACATTGCGATTTCAACTTGTCCCGCGCAACCCTTGCACACGAAATGAGGTTCGATCGTCAAAAACTTAAGTAAAATTGCGATTTCAACTTGTCCCGTGCAACCCTTGCGAACGAAATGAGGTTCGATCGTCAAAAACTGAGGTAAAATTGCGAGTTCAATTTGCTCCGCGCAACCCTTTCGCACGAAACGAGGTTCGATCGTCAAAAACTGAAGTGAAATTGTGTAATTTCGCTTGTCTAATCGCGACCCTTTCGCATGAGATGATGTCCAATCGCACAAAACTATAGCAAATTGCGATGTCCTGTGTGTAAAAGCGTCTCTTTGTAAACGCGTCTGTGTGTAAAAGCGTCTGTGTGTAAAATCGTTTGTGTGTAAAAGCGTCTGTGTAAAAGTGTTAGTTTGTAAAAGCGTCTGTGTGTAAAAGTTTTTTCTGTGCAAAAGTGTCTGTGTGTCAAAGTGTTTGTGTGTAAAAGCGTCTGTGTGTAAAAGTGTCTGTGTGTAAAAGCGTCTGTGTGTAAACGCTTCTGTGTGTAAAAGCGTCTGTGTGTAAACGCTTCTTTGTGTAAAAGCGTCTCTGTGTAAAAGCGTCTGTGTGTAAAAGTGTTAGTGTGTAAAAACGTCTGTGTGTAAAAGCTTTTGTGTGCAAAAGTGCCTGTGTGTAAAAAAGTGTTTGTGTGTAAAGGCGTTTGTGTGTGAAAGCGTTTGTGTGTGTGCAAGCGTCTGTGTGTAAAAGCTTTTGTGTGCAAAAGTGTCTGTGTGTCAAAGTGTTAGTGTGTAAAAGCGTCTGTGTGTAAAAGCGTCTGTGTGTAAAAGCGTCTGTGTGTAAACGCGTCTGTGTGTAAAAGCGTCTGTGTGTAAAAGCGTCTGCGTGTAAAAGCGTCTGTGTGTAAAAGTGTTAGTGTGTAAAAGTGTTTGTGTGTAAAGGCGTTTGTGTGTGAAAGCGTCTATGTGTGTGCAAGCGTCTGTGTGTAAAAGGTTTTGTGTGCAAAAGTGTCTGTGTGTCAAAGTGTTTGTGTGTAAAAGCGTCTGTGTGTAAAAGCGTCTGTGTGTAAAAGCGTCTGTGTGTAAACGCGTCTGTGTGTTAAAGCTTTTGTGTGTAACTCTGTGTATGTGTGAGCAAGCGTCTGTGTGTAAAAGCTTTTGTGTGCAAAAGTGTCTGTGTGTCAAAGTGTTTGTGTGTAAAAGCATCTGTGTGTAAAAGCGTCTGTGTGTAAAAGCGTCTGTGTGTAAAAGCGTCTGTGTGTAAAAGCGTCTGTGTGTAAAAGCTTCTGTGTGTAAAAGCGTCTGTGTGTAAAAGTGTTAGTGTGTAAAAGCGTCTGTGTGTAAAAGCTTTTGTGTGCTACTCTGTGTGTGCAAGCGTCTGTGTGTAAAAATGTGTAAAAGCTTTTGTGTGCAAAAGTGTTTGTGTGCAAAAGTGTCTGTGTGTCAAAGTGTTTGTGTGTAAAAGCGTCTGTGTGTAAAAGTGCCTGTATGTAAAAGCTTCTGTGTGTGAAAGCTTTTGTGTGTAAAAGCTTCTGTGTGTAAAAGCTTCTGTGTGTAAAAGCTTTTGTGTGTAAAAGCTTCTGTGTGTAAAAGCTTCTGTGTGTAAAAGTGTTTGCGATGCAAACTATTGTCTTGTACTTGTGCTATATTGTCTTGATACTCCTCTTCTCGACTGCCTATAACACATCTTTAATATATTGTTTTGTAATATGGTGTCTCCATACTAACAAGAGAAGACCCTGCTCCTCTACGCTCTCGGGCCATCCGTCGTCTAGTTTTTTTTTGTGTGTGGGGGCATTATGAAGAGGTGGATGTAATGAACCACAACCAACAAATATACTAATATGTTGTTGCTGTTTTACTTTCATTTTTGTATCTTAGAATGAACATATACAGCCAACCAAAAACAGGAAATTGGATTCTCATACCCAGGCAAAATTGAGTTATATATGGGTATGTCCAAAATGGTGCTGGGGAAACCATGGATTGGTAGTTCTTTATGCTTTGCCGTTCCGGGATTTTTTTTTCAGCATGTTTTCTTCGTCGCAGGGTATCTGAGAGTGAACATGGATGCATTTGCATAGTGATGATGAAAGGTTGGGGTTTAGCTATGGATAGGTTGTATAACCGAAATATCAGGGAGTATGATATAGCCAACATGTATTCATGTATTAGCCACCAGCGGAGGTTTGGGGAAACATCAACCTACGCACTTTTTAGGTGGGATTTCAAAACAAACTACAACAAGGATGTAATGTGTACATGCGCATGGGATGCTCCCAAAGTATATATTATATGGGCTTGTCCACGCATTGAGCACAAATCTCCAATATATGCCATTATTTGGCCATGCATTCATGAGGTCTGATGTGTTAAACCATTGGTTTTACGGGTGCACCATTTCATACCCATAGGATGAAAAATTGGGAAGTTTGATCTAGGAAAATTAGGAGGTGAAATTGTAGGAGGTTCGGCAACAGACATATGGATATAACACACAAAAGAATGGGGTAACAACACATGTCATAAGTTTTGATGGTACAATGGCACACCATTGGCGCCCGTGACGTTCTGATGCCCATGAAGCCATGCCGCTCCTTTTTGTAAGGACTATGTGTCTGTGTGTTTTTTTTTACACACGCACATATATATATATATAATGATAAACACCTTGAACTTATAGACATGCAAACACGCATGTTATGTGTGTAATATGTCAGATTATAATATTTCATCATATTTCAACTATAGAGATGTACGCTCATATGCCCTTTGGAAATCAGCTCCATAATTTGCAGCTGATACCTGGATGAGGCATGGGGTGTACCTACCATTTAGGGACCGTGCGCGTTGATGCTTTTGATGGGGTTTACACCTTGCTTGATGATTTTCTGATTTACATTTTCAAGTTGGTTTTCTCGTATCCAATCGCAGGGGTGTATTTCAAAATTGACTATTGATCAGTGTTTGCAAAAAGTGACCTTTGCTTTGTGAACCAACAGCCGATCCCAGGGACGTCAGCAACACCGTGGATGCTTGGAATGCAGACAGCTGTTTCTTGCACTGTGGCCAGGTCCGTCGTGGTCTTTGTGGTACGATCTCCCCGAACTTCGTACGACATTTTACAGTTTGACTAGATTTGACTTGTACCAATGAGATCAAGATATCCAGCAAGTATTTGCTTGTTGAATCAGATTGTATCATTATTCATTATTGTTGGTTTTCATGGCCCGCATGGTCACTCGGATTTGTCTGAGAATAGGGTAATTAGTTACCCAAAATGACGTAGTTGATCATCATGATGATGGTAGCTTGGCTGAATTGTTGGGCCCATTGCCATGTATCCCCCAGTGTTGCACAACTCGAAGTCCAGCAACTCATGAGTTGCATTTATAAATCACAGTGTTGGATGAGTAACCCCAATTTGGCAGATTAACTATCCATGTGTTGAGGGGGGGGCTGGTTAGGTAGCCATTTTTTGAGGGTTGTTGAGGATAGATGATAGATCCACCAAATTTGGACACTCCAGCAATATCATTTTGTTGCTTACATTCCAATCTACCCCCATCCAAACCTGAGAATTGGTGTTGTACCTTTGTGATATCCCAATGATGTTCCTTAAAACCGCCTTGTTTCGCATGGTTTATAAAATTCAGCTATGCCCCGACATACTAGTTATAAGTACCAACAGTCACCCCATAGAAATAGAATGTATAATCCCATGGAAATAACCAGTCATAACTAATAGCCATGGCCATTTCACTGTATAATATCCCATTATTTTCCCATAATTATTCCATTAACTATAGTTTAACTAATACATAGCCATAGCTCTGTGATTTTGCTGATTTTTTGATGGCGAAAACTCGCCCCGTCTGACATGGTGATGATGCCCGACGCCTCAGGAGCTGCCATCACGTGTCTAGATGACCAGGCGACGCTGTGGTACCTCAACCTGGCAACATATAAATATATATATACACACATACAAGCATATAATAGAGTTACATGTATATATATTTTTTATTTATTGATTTATTGATTGGTTTATCATTATATTTCCTTAAAACGTAGACGCACTATAGATGCTAACATGTTTTTTTAACTTACAGATGCAGACATAGTATATACACATGTGTCCATGAAGAATAAACAAATAAGCAGAAGTGTATATCATGTGTTTATGTATAATACAGTATATATATATATATGTATGTATGTGGGTGTGCGCGTGTTTTGTTTGAAATTGCACATACATACATACATACATACATGCATACATACATACATGCATACATACATACATACATACATACATACATACACACACACACACACACGCGCATACATACACACACACATATATATATATATACATATAAATATATATGCATATATAAAAAATCTATTTTTACATATGTATAATATATAGTATGGATGGCTTTTTGACATGTTCTGCTCCCATTTTAAGCTGAGATTTAAAAGGTCGACCAAGCAATTTGAATCGTCGTTGGCTTCAGTGGACTCGATCCCCAGGCGGAGTCCAAAGAAGAAGCACCGAAGTGGTGACATGATGTGTTCGACATGTGGGACAGAATGCCAGAGAAAATGTTAGATAAGGATGTCGGAATATAATGGAATATATGTCAGACAGAAAGTTAAATTAGCTGCCGCAAAAAAAAAATCAAACTAGATGTCAGATAGAATGCCAGATATGCCAGACTGTTCGAATTGTTTCAATGTATGTCACATCAAATGTATTTCAACATGTTTCTCAGATATAACGGCATATCAAGTGTCAAGGCCTGATGGGGATCACTGGGAGGTCAGTTCATTTTGTGTCAAATCGAACCCTTTGGTGGTTGACCCAGCAATGGAAAATAGTCAATCATCCAGAAGCCCGCGCTTGTTGTTGTTGTTGTTGTTGTTGTTTTTTTTTTTGTATTTATTTGTTGAGGAGTTAGATTTCGAACAAGTGTCCTTGTTCTTGTCATATCCTTGTGATTTGTAGTTCACAGACCTCGTGGCGTGCATGTTGTGTCATCCCATGGACGTCGCTTCATCATGTGACCGCGGCTGATGCATGCTCTGTGATGGGAGCTGCAATGTTCCACCATATACCCTAGGGTAAACGTTTACATAGATGTGGAAAGCCCATGAAGAAACCCGAGGAAAATAGTATACAAATGGTTGATTTTCCACATCTAAATGTTAGTTTACCCTTGGGTAATATCTTTGGGTAGCGGGGTGAAGCTTGAGACTAGTGACAAAGTTGCACTATGTGGGTGGATGTTAAAGGCCTATGGTGTCATCAGAAAGATGATGGCGACGTTTATGCTGATGTTGGTGATGTTGATCTTGATCATGATCATGGTGATTAAGCATATCAGGTTGAGGAATTTAGTTGTATTTTAACCATGCTCATTGTTTTGTTTCTACATCATGGGGTTGGCCAGTTGACCCCTCACATTATTTAAGGTTGTGGTTGGGTAAAAGACCACTGTTACACCAATCTACCCACCATTGTCAATCTCTGTGGAAAGTCTCAAGGCCACCCAATCTAAAGCCCTATGATCTCTCGTTGAGAAAGTACGGAAGTCCAGGTCTGTTACAGATTTGGCTGCCACCCATCTGCCCTGATGTTGATACCATGCCCCAGGCATCCGCTTAAGAACATGGAACGTGCTTCTGAACGTGCTATGCGGTGGATGGCTAATGCACCTTGATGCCTGCGGTTTCTCTCTGCCAGTTTCCTAATCACAGGGGAGAGGAATTCATACGAAACCTGGCATGTTTTTTCACGTAAACTTGTGGCTCCTTGGACATGAAAAATGATCCCAAATAAACGGAGGGGTATGAGCCTGCACAAGATCTATTCATACGATATACGTTAGTTGTTTGTGTTTGTGTGTGTGTGTGCGTGCTATGTGTTGAACTGTCCCGCACAGGTTGCCAATGGATACTGAAAGTTCACATTTAGGACCGTTACCTGCAAGAAAATGTCTTCCTGGCAATTGGCTTCTGGTGCTTTCAGGTATGTGCGCATTGATATTTTCTCTCTCTCTCTCTCTCTCTCTCTCCCCTCTCAGCCTCTCTCCCTCCGTCTATATATATATATATACAATTAAATGTATTATGTGCATGTGCGTGCCTGTGCGCACACTTGTTTACACATGTATTTTCACGCAGTTTCCTCACCGATCTCATTTTCATAGTGTTACCTGTCATTCTTCTTCAAAGACTGGTCCTCCTTCCCGAAATTTCACTGTGGCTTGGTGGTTTCAATCATGTCGTTCCTTGGTTTGGTTAAAAGCGATCGGTAAACATCGGGATGTCATGGCGTAAATGGCTGTAAATGGTGATTAGTCAGGGTGACTATCTCCAAATGGCCGTATTCGAGATTAGAGAGTTATTACAAATATCCACATATTTGGGTTGATCCACAACTCAACAATTGCAACTGACTCATTCTGTCAATGGGGTTGTCAGCGAATCTCATTTTCCAAGGGAACAGTACCTTACACGCTATCACCACGCATGATCAAACTTCAAGTGAGTCATTCATTGATAGCTTGTTCACATTCATAGATCACCTGGCATCGAAACGGATGAAACCACTTTCTGCGATGTATCGGTTGGATCCTGCCTGACTCACTGCGTGTCGCTGAATGCTGGATGAAAAGCTGCGGCACTGAGAAGGATTTTGCAGGTGACCGTCATTTCTGAGCTTTTTCTTATTTGGGGTTGAATCAGCACCAGTGAGCAGCACTATTTCCTTTGTGTGCAAAGTTAGCCAACCCTATTGGCCCAGTGTTCGAAAATAAAACCTCACAAATGATTGTGTTGATGATTGTGTTCCAAATAGTCTCGTTGCATGGCAGAACCAAGCATACAGTAGTTTTCAGAGAGATACATGTATTTATTTATATTATATATATACACATATGTGTGTGTGTGTACAGTACACATTTATTTATTTGTTCATTTGTTTATTTACCAGTAGTACCGCACAAGGCGGTGGCGGAAGTTTCAGAAGAGGAAGCCTATAGGAGAGCTTGGTTATTGCAAATCACGGATGGCAGAGTGACTCCACTGATGGACTGAAAGGTGGTTAGAGTTGTCTATTTTGGAGTGGTTACAATGGTCGCAGTGGTCACCTGGTCGGTCACCTCACCCACAACTGCTGGATGTAGTGTGGTGTAGCGCAGCTGTAGTTGTAGTTGTAGTGTAGTTGCAGTTGCATTTGTGGTGGTATAATGAGTATAGTGTAATGCAATGAAGTGTAGTGTATTCTAGTGTAGTGTAGTGTAAAGTAGCGTAGTTGTAGCTGTAGCTGTAGTTAGTGTAGTGTAGTGTAGCGTAGTTGTAGTTGTAGCTGTAGTTAGTGTAGTGTAGCGTAGTGTAGTGTAGTGTAGTGTAGCGTAGTGTGGTGTGGTGTAGTGTAGTGTAGTAGTGTGGTGTAGTGTAGTGTAGTGTAGTGTAGTGTAGTGACATGTTATGTAGTGTAGTTGTAATTGCAGTTGTAGCTGTACTTAGTGCAGTGTAGTGTAATGTAATTGAGTGTAGTGGAGTGGCGTGTATCGGAGTGGAGTGTAGCGTACTGTAATGTAATTAGTGTAGTGTAGTTTCAGTTGTAATTGAAGTTGTAGTTGTAGTTAGTGTAATGTAGCGTAGTATAATGTAGTGTAGTGAAGTGTAATGAAATTAGTGTAGTGTAGTGTAGTGTAGTGTAGCGTACTTGTAGATGCAGCTGTAGTTGTAGCGTAGTGGAGTGTAATTGAATGTAGTGTAGTGAAGTGAAGTAGAGTGGAATGGAATGGAGTGTAGTGCAGTGCAGTGTAGTGTAGTGTAGCGTAGTTTTAGTATCGTGTAGTATAGCGTAATGTAGTTGTAGTTGCAGTTGTAGCGTGGTGGAGTGTAGTGTAGTGTACTGTAATGATTTGTAATGTAATTAATTAGCGTAGTGCAATGTAAGTAGTGCAGTGTAGTGTAATGTAGCGTGGTTTTAGTTGTAGTTCTAGTTCTAGTTGTAGTTGTAGTGTAGTGGAGTGTCGTGTAGCGTAATGAAGTGTAGTAGTTGAAACTGCTACAAAGCCTTCACGGCCTTCACGTTTTGCTCACTTTTGACAAGGTGCACAATCCCCTGCGTCTGCCACGCGAAACGACATCTGAACGTCGAAAAGTGCTCCGTACCCACAGTTTTTTTGCACTTTTGACTTCAAAATGTGCTTCGCGCAACAACGGCGTGCACTTTTTCGACATCTCAACTTCCAAAAGTGGTCCGATGTTGGTGTTTCTTGTACATTTTGACTTGGAAATGTGCTTCGCACCTCAACGACGCGCAATTTTTCATCTCTGATATGACCACATGGCTCCGCACCCGTTACTTTAGCGAGCCTACTTTTCGACCCTCCGGAGCCACAAACCATCGGAAAAACAAAGTGTTGCGCGACTTTCCTACCTTTTCGCGCACCTGCATCTTCTTTCTTCTCACTCTTTCTCTTCTCTGATCTCCTCTCTTCTGCTCTTCTCCTCTCTGACTCTTGCCATCTGTGCTTTTCTATCTGTCCATATTGTCGGGGGTTTGACTTCTAAAATTCCTTCGGCTGTTATAAAAATCAATTGGTGTTGAATGAGTAGAGCAACATCCCAACACCGTTTGATTTGCCTACAGGCCTAGTGATTCAGTCTACTTCTGCCAGCATCAGGTGAAGGAACTCAATCTCAAGACTTTTTAATTTTCCACACTGGTGCAAGTAGCGGCGGTTTCAGCTTGAAGCATTTCCCTAAATTTGTACAGTACACACAGCCCATAGCAAAACTATCCGAGCATGTTTGCAAAAAAACAATGTCTCATGTTTAGATTGGGCTCCAGTATGGTGATTACTCCAATTTTATGTGACACTTTCGCATTTCTGCTTGTTCATCACAATATTCTTAAGTTGCAAACTGGGTTTGTTTGAAAATAGGGTGTCCCCAATGTTTGATGGTTTTTCATGTGTTTGTCCAAAATATGCTTTTTGGATGATTCATCGCCCATTTTCGGACACAACCGACTATCATATCAAATGATCCCATAAGATATCGCAAGTTATTTCCGCATCATCATCATCATCATCACCACCACCACCACCATCATCATCATCATCATCGTCATCACCATCATCATCATCATCAGCAGCATCAGCAGCATCATCAGCATCATCATCATCAGCATCATCATCATCATCAGCGTCGTCGTCATCATCATCATCATCAGCAGCAGCAGCAGCCAGCAGCCAGCAGCAGCAGCAGCAGCCAGCAGCCAGCAGCCAGCAGCCAGCAGCCAGCAGCCAGCAGCTGCAGCTGCAGCCAGCAGCCAGCAGCTGCAGCCAGCAGCAGCCAGCAGCAGCCAGCAGCCAGCAGCCAGCAGCTGCAGCCAGCAGCTGCAGCCAGCAGCAGCAGCCAGCAGCAGCCAGCCAGCAGCAGCCAGCAGCAGCCAGCAGCAGCCAGCAGCAGCCGGCAGCAGCAGCCGGCAGCAGCCGGCAGCAGCAGCAGCAGTGGCAGCAGCGGCAGCAGCAGCAGCAGCAGGATCATCATTTGGGCGTTCGACCCGTCACTAAGGTTTTTTACCATCAATTCTTTCCACTGGTTCGTTTGCGAAACATCAAGGTATGATCGAATAAAATGCCCCCATTACTTTCCCTTTAGCCCATAGATGGGGTGTAAATCAGCCACTTGTGTCATTTTTTCCACTGAAAGCCCCATGTGCATGTTGCATCCCGTGAAATATCCCGATTATATACCCATTATTTATAGCAACCCAAAAAAGGAATAACAAGGTTACCTTAAATAAGGATAGGAAGGTACAATCCGACTAAGTTCCTGGAACCTCCAACGGGAAGATTTTTTTTGTAGTTCTTGTGTTTGCCTAGATCGCCAAGTTTTTTGTGCAAACGACTATCTTGACAAGAATTACCTATTCCCATGGTTTGAAGCTGTTTGCAGCCATTCTACAATTTTTTGGTTTGCCATTCTGGCACAGCAGTTTATCTGCTATCAATTCGAACCATTGGCACTTGGAAAATTAAAATGCATTGGGCAAATCAAGATTTTCTCCGCAGAGCACAGAGGAGCTTTGTGGCATCCTAAATGGATTGTGAAAACGCAATGATTCGCAAATACCACAAAAGCCACCGAGAGACGCTTTTTGCGACGAGAACGCCCCGCAAAACGCCCGCAAAACGCCCGCAAATACCCAGCAAACGCCAGCAAATACCCGCAAACCTCCGCAAAACATCGCAAAACCGCAAAACCAAAAAAAATGTAATTCTATGTAATTCTTGTTGTTTCCCAATCAGGGGAAATCGTTTTTTTCAGTTTTTTCTGCTAGATGGTCTTACTAGAAGCTTGAAAATTCATACACAAGCCCTGCAGCTCTGCCACCAGTATGCGTGGGTGAAAAGGATAATATTGGTTTGGAGATGCAATGGGGGGCACCCAAGAAATTTGAAGATATATGCACCCCAACATTTCGACATTATTTTCTTTAATTCGCCATGATTTTCAGCAACATGCCGTGAACGACATGTTTTTTCCGAAACGATTTGGAATCATGAACGCCTAAAAAAATCTTGTCGGTGGAAGATCAAGGTTCTCTATTTTTTTGGGGTTGCTCTTTAAACTTAAAGTTAATTATCTATTTTGCTAATTTAAGGTTTGAACATTTCAAGTGTAGCGATTTTCGCTGAATTTTCCCCATAGGATCATCCCATGATTGTCCTGCCTCGCTGCTTCGCCGTACCGTGGGGATCGCAGCAGCCCGCCGAAGCCCACCGAGTTTCAGGGCTTGCGCAGCTCGCTGCAGGACGGAAATGGAGTTTTCAAGGGAAAGTCAGGCGGAAAAATTGCTGGAAAATAATATGGGAATTCACGACTCTAGCTGTTTGAATGGGAATATCAGTGGAAAATATGTGGAAATCTGGTGTCGCCATCCAGTGGAAGTGCAAAAATGGGAAAATCATCGAACTAAAGGGATGATTTTTGAGCAAGGCATATGAAAAATCACCGGAGGGCGAGGAAATCTCGTCCTGCCAAGGTATCATAGAGTTTAGGTATATATATATATATATATATGTGCATTTGTAATCGTGTATATGTATGCAATAATATATATATATAGATATATCATTTATATATACGGAAACCAAGATAGACAATACGTCAAGTATGCAGTTTTTTCTTAACATATCATAGACAATCTTTGTAGCCTTTCACTACTAGTCATACCCGGCCAGATAGTGCACCCGGCCAGGATGGCTTTGACATTTGTGGCACCAGCCAACGGGGTGGCAACAGGTGAGGGGACTGTCCCCATGTCAGGCTAGACAAACTTTGGTGATGTAGTTGATACTTAATCCATCTTAATCCCTTAGCCAAAAATAGGGAAAGTACCAGATACAACATCAGGCCATCAGCCAGAAATTCATCAAAAATCAGCTAAAAATCAGCCAGATAATTTAAATACTCTTTCTTAAGGCCAAAGATTCAATTGCAAGGTATCTCAGATTCGCCTGCAAAGAGCGCTCATGCCCCTGCAAAGTCTTCTCGGGAACACTAACACGTCATTGGAATGGTTGTTACTTATTAAAGGTAACTACCCCAAAATAGCATCATTTCAGGTCAGTGAAATATGATCATTTATCCTGAGAGAGATATTTGGATATACCTATACTCATAACTCAGACTGATATACACAAAGACACACACACATATATATATATATACATCCTCCCAATTAAGGTTATGTTTTCGTTTTCTTGGATTGTTGTTCTTGAACTTGGGCCCAAAGTAGTTACAACCACGAGTACGATGGCTTATGATGTTGTTTTTGCCAATATTCATGAGGAGAATTATGTGCTCCAAGCAGTAGTTTGCTGGGAAAATACTGGGACCAGCCTCGCAGTTCTTCATGTCAATCGCAATCCATCGGCATTGGCTCCTAAGTCGGCGGGCCTTGAATTCTTGCCGATGAACTGCCCGGAACTGCCCAAATTGCTGGACAGCCATGTGATGTCCCCATGTTTGCTGGCAAATTCTACTTTCTGGTTGAAATCCAGATGCGTTATAATGCCATGTTTCTTCCGCTGAATTCCACAGTGAACTTGTTACGTGTTGGCCTGGATGAAATGACCATGTTTGCTGCTGAAATCTCGACGTGTTGTTGTTTTTGTTCAAAATTTATCAGCGCAAAATAACTGAAACATCCATATTTGCCTGAGCGAGCTATCGTTGTCTCCATCTTTTGTGGCTGGTTTTTGGGCGCCAGATCCGAGAAAATGCCAGCCAGGCCACCTCCGAAGCACTGCGGGAGCACCTATTGGCCAGCGCAGTGGGCCCACGGCGCTCCAGAAGGTTAGGAGCCTGGTGGGGCAGACTTGGTCAAAGAAAGCATGCGCGGTGAAATTTACTGTATGTTACTGTAAGTCTTCTTTTTGAGAAAATTTACCATTCCATATTCCTCCAATCCAAGCCAGTTTTATTTTGCTCCCTGGGGCCCAAAACAAAAAAACTGCATTCGAAACATGTTCTGACAAATGTCTAGAATCAGGAGGAACGGATTCCTAAAAATCCGGTGAGTGTTTCAATATGTCACAAACACATATTTATATCACATATTTATATACTCATCCGTTGTTCATCAAATTTGGGATGATCCATGATGAACATACTGTAATGGATGAAACCACCAGCCAGGGTAGTGAACCCATCAACTACACATGTGTCGTTGTTGAAACCCAAGGACGGCCCCATTGTTGAAGGCAGTTTTTTCAGGCTTACAAGACACATGCTGACGCAGTGGGTGTGGTTTAGTTTTCGGTCTAACGAGTATCACAGCATTTTGATAAATCACAACGAATTCACGTCGCGATGACGCTATAGAAATGTGGCTTGTAAGGGCAACTATCCGAATACGCCCTTACTTTATCTTACTTTCTGCGGTGAGTTCCTACAATTCATCCATATTTTTGGCCTCACGTGGCTATGAACATTGGGGAAACCAAAGGGTCAGGGTTGGTAAAGGTTCCACTGAGCTGTTTGCCTCATATCCACATGTTCAGAGGAAGCAGAAGTGGTAGACACATGACCACATGACAACACTTCCACATGTTGTACCGCATTTAAGCATATACATGTATGTATTTATATAACTACACAGCACACACACACATATATATATATATATACATATATGTGTGTGTACAGTAAACGTCTAAAATATGTTAGATATATATTCCTATACATGTGCATTAGATATTATAAACATATTTAAATACTGATATTGCATCAGTACACAGATATTGGATCAGCCAATGCATATCCCACAAGGCTTGTGTCAGAAGTACTTAACTAGCACAGCAAGGCATTTCTCCTCCTGCCCTGGCGCTGTGTCGCTGTGTGGCTGCCATGGGCGGCTTGTTGGATAAACCTCTGAAGGAGAAGTGCATCGAGACGGGAGGTGCAGATGACACACCAATCATGGGGATACACAGCAATAACTACCCATGGCCCGTCAATACAATTGGGTTTACCCTGTGGTAAGGCACTTGAAAACCCCTTGAAAGTAAATCGACGTTTCAATGGGAAAACTATCCAAGTAATTATCCACAAAAAGAATATGTTCCATTGCTAAGTCTGATTACCGGAGGGTACTTTTTTTCAATCACATATCCATCAATATCCATCAGCATACCTGCCTGTAGATATATGATTGAAAGTGAAAGATGTAAAGTGATAACATTTACTTTGCACTTGTCTATAGATAATGAATTAGATACATTGAAAAGGTGGTGTCCCCAGTCATAATAGGTCTGTTTGTAAACCGGTATTAACTAGATAAATCTACCAGATACGACCATAGAATTCACCTAGTTATAAAGCAACATAGCTATCTCGGCGGGTCCAACCTTGCATAGGCGATGACCGCATGCAGTGGGTGGCTGCTGATATGCAGGGCTGGCGCCAGGCGGCAATTTTCTCATGATTTTCCGATGTTTCTGGAAGATAAATAAGATATCCCTAATTATTTGGGGATGTCCCTGTGATTTTTTGACGCTATCTTTCTGGATCGAAACTATGGATTTTGCAGGTAGATCTGAAGGGAACTCTTGAAGGTGAGGATGTGGCTAGCCACCACTGCTTCATGGATATTGGGCAGCCCAAATGGCCAGCCTTCAATGCTTGGCTCACTTTCACACAGCCATTCTTGTTTCAAGAATATGAGATGCATACAAGTGTGGTCAATCGCATATATATATATAGTATATTTTATGTTTTACATTAAATCACAATGAAGCACGTATTTCATAATATATATATATGATATATGTGTGTCACTATCTGAATGTTCCTGACTTCCTTAAGTGAAGTGTGGTTTGCATTGGCCTAAAGAAGGTTTTTGATTCAGGAAAAGGTCCGGGATAAAAACAGTTTCTGAGGATGGGTTGGAGAACGCGCAACTCACATGTGGCACCATTTTCTCAGGAGGCATCGGTTTGCTCAAAAAATGGAACATGTGAGTATTTGGTGACAATCTACCAGTATATAGAAATTGGTCGTTAAGGAAAAAACTTGGGACAACATGTGTTGTGTGCCAGGTTAGTTTTTTCCACTACGACATCTGCTATCCAATATAGTTTTAGCTGATCCAGGCATATGGCTACGGACCAAAACCTATGAAGTACCTATAGGTTAATTTGAGTGGGATGAAGACCCATACATCCCAGCTACAACTGAGAAACTCACCGGGGTACCATGTGGAGGACATGGAGGATGAGCACATCGCAAGCACCAATGCGGGGGAGGAGTCCCTTGGAGATGCATTTTGATGCGTTTGGATCAGTTTCACACATAGAAATCCATAGGCAATATTCATATGGATCAAACTTTAGCAATTTTCAGCTATATCTAATGGATCATTTTGCAGTCTTTGGCATATATGGATCCATTGAGCGGATACAGTGCATGTTGGATCATGTCGGCACATGCTGCACCTATGGCTAAAATGGCTGCCCAAAAGCACATATCCTCCAAAATTTGTATGCCTTGAACATTCCTTGAACCTCAAAAAGTGCTCATAGCAATGAAGCACATGTGGATAAGATGAATGATGGGAATGTTCACTCTCTCTTTGGGGTCAAAACAATGGTTTCAACCATGGTTTCAACCATCAACCATCTTTTCCCCTTAAAAATCAATCCGTTGAATACCATTGCCGGTTGAATCCCAGATCTTTGCAGTTTAAATCCTTATTTTTTTGCGGTTCCCCATTTTTGATGGTTGAATCATGTTTGGGAGGTTCGCTGGCTGCGGCGTCTACTGCGTCTTCGATGGTCACGGTCCGCCCCGCCGTCATACCGTTGGTCGTCGGGATAGCCAATGGCCCACTTAGGGGACTACCATTGGTAAATATGATGAACAATTATTTAATAGGGAAAAAAAGAGCCCCAGCTACTGGTATACCACTGGTATGATATTGTTAATTATTGGTAAATATGATGAACAATTCATCCAGTTTCGGGAACTTAGCAGCTGGGATTACAAAGCAGTTTCTTTGTTTGTTTCTATGAGGGATGTTTCTGCACGAATTTCTTGGACAGGTACGTTTTTTCGAGTGTCACTCAGGATTTTATCGCCTCAGCCAGGTGGCAAAGCGGTCTCGAAATTTTGCAAGCAGCTGGGCGATTTTTTTACTGGGTGCCAAGTGCCCTGGAGATCCCTGGATTTCTTTGATAGGATATGTAGCCGGTGATCTTTCTGTTCAAACATGTTGGACAAATCATAGGAAACGCAGGCCGCTGTTCTCAGGGTCTACCAAAATGATGTGATGATGAATAGCTGCAGTGCTGTCAATCACATGTCTCAGGGCCAGTTTTCAATCATCCCTACACTAGATTAGATGATCATCGACAGTTGGAAAGAATCCCGCCAATTTTTGGTGATGTTTCGATGGCGCATGGCATCACCCCTACAATTCGTTCCGAAGTAGGGTCAAGGTTCTCCAGACGAGGCCGAAAAGTTCATTTGTCTCCATTATGGAGCTGGATGATGACCCATTGAATATACCATATATGCTTGCGCGATGAACATCCATTTGCCATCTACTTTGGTATGACCAGAAGGGTTCTAGGGTTTTGACCATCCATATCTTCCAATTTGCTCTATACTTGGTTCACTCTAAACCATGTTTTTTTTTAAAAAAATCTCTTTTTTGTTCCGAAATCTTCTGCAGATGAGGCAACACTTTCTCCAGGAGTTTGTGCAGATGACTAGCACCATGGGAAAGCCCAAGTTTGGCAAGAACAAGGCGCCGGGCTGGTATAGAACTGAGCCTTGAACCAACCTTCATCCACCAATATGATCTATGTATGGTTGACTATCTGGAGAAACCATGGCTTTGGCATGGCAATTTGGGGGTGTTCAGAAATGTTTCTTTAGGATAGATATCCAATTAGAAGCTAAATCCATATCAATCCAGCGTCCAGCCCCTCAGTTGTTGTTCAAATCCACAAACAAATCCTTCATGACCACAAAAACATGTTTGAACCTGTCTTCATAACCAAGAAAGGCCTGGTTCCAGCCAGCACCCTGCCTTCTGTTGTTTCCTCGGCTGAGAATAAGAAAAGACATTGTGGTGCCCATCTGGAACCCGTAGATATGGAGGAGATTCTGAAGGTGCCGTGCCCAGGAACTGGGCGAGTTCATAGGGCTGCTGAATTCGGGGGTCATATTAACTGAACGGCTTTTATTTATATGATGTTAAATGTAGGTTTTACTTGGGGGTTAATAAAGATACCAGTTTTAATAACGAGTAAAACGAGGTTTATTCACTTGAACTATGTAGCTGTGGCTACGGAGGGGGAGCCCAAAAGCATTGTTTGGTAGAAGGGTTTGGAATTTTGTGTGTTTATTTGTACATCTTTGAACCATTTCCGTTGACTGAATGTATGTATTGGAGGTGCTAAGGAGCCAGGGATGAGGAACATTCCTACTGAATATAGTTAAAATCACTGGGTAGTTGAGAAGATCCAACAGGGATAGAGCAGCCTGGAGGAAACGTAGGACTTGATGGTTCCCTCAAACATCACCAGCATCATGGGAAGGGCTATAGGGACAACACCTGATGCAAATGCAATAAGATATATACAGTATTTAAATATAAATGATGTGGTCAACCATGTACATACACATATATATATATATACACAGTATATAAATGATATGGACGCCCAACATCTACCACAGATACTCTTCAGCAATCAAACATGGCAATGGGAAATCCTATAGATAAATGGAGGTGTTAATAGGACATGAAACATGCATATGATATATGGATATACATGGTGGATTTTACATTGCCCAGTTTTCATATGTTTTCATTACCGAAAGTGTGCGATATGTTGATGTGCTTTCCTGCCCTCAGGAATCCTTCCACAAGATGGATGACATGTTGCGAGACCCTGCCTTCGCCAAGGCAAGCTGGTCTCAGGGCTGAAGACCCGTCCGAAGATGATCAAACTGATGAAGTGCCAAGCTTTTCTTGATCCAAACTCGTGGGTTGTTGAAGCCCCACCTTTTCATTGATTAGAATCAAGTGTCTACTCCCATGGCCATAGTATTACTCCCTAAAACGTCCCAAACTCACTCAGAAAGTGTCTATATAAACTTTAAACATGTTTTTTGGTTGGGTGCGCGCGCCCGGGGCCTCCATTTTATGCCCAAAAATCGCGCGCGAACCCAACCAAAAAAAAGTTCAAACAGTTTTTTTTTGGCAAGGAAACCCGCTGAGTAAGCAAATATGGGTGATATTAGGTGGATGGGCGGGATGGGATTACCCACTACGTTTTAGTGAAATCACCAGGTCTGGTTGTTTCGTTCTCCCCGGTGCTAAGTTTTTTGCGCCAAACTCTCTGGAAGGAACTCGCGCGCAACGTGGGGAAGGTCCCGGCCGGCGCGGTTGAGGTGCCTCTAGGGCGGCTGGGGGCTGTAAACAGGATTTTCTTCTGGAAATTTATCGTGGAGATATGTAGGAATACCATATCATCCTTGGAATTGTTGAAGACGAAGATGACGGCATATTTTTCCCCATGGAAAATCCACTACTTGGGGGTTCCTCAAGCAAATCCAAGAACCACTTCCTCCGGAGAAAAAGAATATGGAATACCCTCTGTGCCACGGATGAGGCCCAACAATGGCATCCAACATTACGCCAGGGTGTGTAGCAGGTGTTTCATATTGAGGACTATTGAGGGGATTGTGATCACTTGAGATGGGTTGAGACCAACAATTACGTGGCTAACCACTCCAGGAATTGGATGAAAAGAGGATCTACATATATCTACATGAAAGTCCTTCTATACTCCTTTATTTTTTTGTGGGTAACAACCCATGGTTCCAAGCCTCAATTTTTCCCAACAACAATCCATTGAATCATCCCTAGTTGTCTTTGTTGTTGTTTAAACCTCATTACCTAAAGATACATCTTCCATGAACCCAACAGCGATTAAACAAGTTAGTATCAGCTGAGTTGCTCGCGCCAGGACCTTCAAAAGCAGCTCTCCGAGTTGTCGCAGAAACAACAGCCACATGTCAATTGGGGTTGTCCCGTGCTGGCCGCGCTTGGGGGGGGATTCCAAGCTGTGAGCTTATTACAGCTTGGTGAGTCTTTTTTTGTTCATGCGCAAGTCAGATCGTTTGATCTTGGTTTGTTTTTTTTGGGGGGGCTTGGGGGGGGGCAGATCCGGCTATGGGTGGCAACTCACTGGTATTGGGATTCGTCTCTTCTCACGCAGAGCCACCGATGTAAAGCGACTGACCCAGTGACTTTTAATAATACGGACTTCATTTTAAATGTGTAAATGAAGTCAAAAAGTTGAAGAAAAGGAACTACACTACAGAATATATATATATATATGTGCAGTATACATAATATCATTCCATCTATCTACATACATTACATGCATGCATGCCTACCTACCTACCTACCTACATACATACATACATATATACATACATACATACATCCATACATCCACGCATACATGCATACATACAGATAGATAGATAGATAGAAAGATAGGTAGGTAGACAGACAGATAGAGAGATAGACACAAAGACAGATACACAGACAGACAGATAGAGAGATAGACAGACAGAAAGACAGACAGACAGACAGATAGACAGATAGATCGATAGATCGATAGATAGTCTTTATGATTTATATATATTTTTTTTATATATGCTGTATATTTGCTGCATTGCATGTCATAGTACATATATATATATATATATGCAGCTACTGACCTGCATCGTTGGCTGAGGAAAGGTCAAGCCACTGTCGCGGCCTCCTGGCCTTTGTTCCCTGCAGGTTCCCTAGGAAAACGACTTCTCGTTTGGAAAGAATTGCGTAGCGATCCCCAAGAAATGGAAGTTTGTAAAATGGTACTATATGAAAGTGGCAAATCACTTTTCTATACCTTTTTTTGGATTACAAATGAGGTTGTATCAATTATATGTTGGAAAATCCGTTGAACTTTGTTTGGGTATACCTTGGTGAAGTTCCGTGCATGGTTCTAAAATTCTAAAAATATTGGCTATTAAACAGAAAATTGCAATTATCTAGCTGGGGAAATGGTGCTCATGCATCACATAAACAAAAACATCATGGGATATTCTATATTCAGACATTTTTGCCATAAATGAGAGGGAGGAAGGTCCAGCGATTAATCATTATGTTTGCAAGGTATATGCAAGGTGGCGCACCGGCGCGCCCCCAGTTGTAAGTTGGTTTATAACCGTCAGTAACTAGGGATATATCTCCCATAAACCCGAGTTATAAACCAACTTCGCCGACCATGCGGCGCTGCCTTGTACCTACGGTTCGCCATGATATTAACCGATGAACTGCCCAGCAGTTGGCATCGCTGAGGATCAAAGCGAGATGAAGGACATGTGCGTGAAGCTTCAGAAGTTCCGTGGCAGCAAGACTTTTACATGGGAAATGACCTATCAACATCTATCAACTGCTACAAGGTAAACAAAAACAAAACTTTGGCGTGAGGACGAAAAGTTGCTGCAAATTTGCCTAGGTCAATTGTTGGGTTAACTAAATTTAGAGAGCATAACTATAGTTGATGGGGTTTATAAACCAACTTCTAACTGGGTGGCCACCTCGTATCATTAGAATGGAAGAATCATGGGTGCAAGCTAGCCTTCGGACCTAAGATTCGTTCATTCAAATTCGATTTGGGTTTGTCCAAAGATAAGCAGCAAGAACGAGGATACAATGAACAACAAAGCGGAGGTATGGTGATTTCCCAAGATTTGAACCGTTCCATGGCCTGTACTGCCCAATGTAGTGCTGGCGGCGCTGGCGGCGCTGGCGGACAGCTTGGGACATCGCTTCCCAAGGCTCAAGGAAGCGCAGAAAGGGGCTCCTGAGACGCAGAATGGGTGCCATTGCTAGATTGTTAGGAAATGGTATATGGGGTGTAGCACCATGCTACCCCGGTGGTGACATATATGAATGATGTTCCTGGCCATTGGTGGGACCCACGGATCCTTTGACTTTGGTTCCTGGTATGTTGGACTCTTCTGCTGGGGTGCTTACTGGCACCGTAATCGAAGGGGAACTCCACCTTCGAAATCAGGTGCCAGCCTTAAAAAATCGTATTGGGCAACTTCAAAAATCGACCTTTAGGATGAGTTGAATGCTTTGTTTGAGACTAGGGTACCCCTTAGTCCTATTGCTGATCACCATTTCAACAATGAAATTGGTATGAAATTGTAATTTTTGGGGCTGCCACCATTCTAGACAAAAATTGACCACCATCTCCGAGGATGACTTTGTCCCCGACACCGTGGGCTGCACTGCTGTTTGTGTGCTGCTTCGGAAGCAGGACCTTTTTTGTCACACGGAAAGCCCAAGAAGAAACGTCTCACGCGGATATAGACTTTAAGGCTTCCCAGATGGTCAAATCTGGTGAATGGGAAAGGGCGTAGTTTAACACATTGATCTCATTGGTATGCACCACACTGCATCACAAGGTTTGATGATGTTTGATGTAGACAAATGGGCTGATTGGTGGCAAATTGTGGGGAGGTGGATAATTTTATGCGCGTATGCACTCACATAAGAATCCAGCTTTTTCTGGGGTGGCCCAAGGCTTGATCTATTTTGAAATAACATTTCAAGTAGGAATTATTTGGAGTAGTCAGCTGAGATTTGACTCACTTCATCATATTTCATACATGTTCATACCAATAAGATTACAATCCTCAGGTTTGGACCTTAACCACCAGAAATTTCATTTGAGGCGTCATGACCGCAGCGGATTGTTGTCTTTTTTTATTGCGGCAGGGTTGTGGCCATTTCAGTTTGCAAAGTCCGAGGTTCACCTGACAGTATCTTCGTTCAGCAGACATCCAACATATAGTCGGACAGTTTTTTGCCCATAGAACAAGATTGCAACTGTCACAAGCCAGATTTGACCCACAGCCAGTAGGTGATAGTCTTGGCAAACCACCGGAACCAGCTCGAAATGACAAGTGAAGGAGACCTGCTGGGATCTCGCAGGCCACTAGAGATTCAGGGGGACTTAACTGACCAAGTCATGAATCAGCTGATGAAAATGGGAAGATTTTACATTAAGTAACTTGAATTAACATAATAAGCAAATTGCTACATCAGCCAGTGAAAAAACTTCTCAGCCACGGAGATTGCATCAGTGGAGCATGTTCCTGCACCATGACTCCATGACGTGGCGGAGCGCTGGCCGAAGTGCCGTTGGTTGTGTCGTGCGCCTTTTGGCCGAAGTGATGCAAGGGATCAATGGACAGGCATTTTAGGAATTTTAAATGGCAAATGTCAGGAATTTACCTGGCAAAGTTGTTTTGGAAAAAGGACAGGGCCATTTTTTCATTGTAAATTCAAAAGACGAAAGAGACTATTTATTGTTTGGGCAGCTGATCACATGGTGGGACACCACATAAAACATGGAACAGACTCAACGTGAAATAAGTGACCTGGAACGGGAGTGTTCCTTTTCGTCCAAATCAGTACAAATACAATCGACAAATTGGTGATAATTGGTATCATGTTCCACCTCCATGGGCCAGGGTTTCGGGACTGGTAGAGACAATGACTGTCCTAGGCCTTGATTCCTTAATATGCAGCCAGCCAAGATGCTATGAATCATTGCCTGATAGATGAGGCAACCAAAACCTTGCCCTAGCCCAGAGGATAGTGAAGATTTGGAGTAAGGATCCTTCTTGCATGATTTAACTTGTTGATTTCTTATGGCGTTTGTGGGTGGGCAAAAACACGGAGTCGATTTGAATCATGGATGCCATCAGCTGTTTGATCCTTCTTTCTTGAGCTATTTAGGGAGCTGACCCAAAGAATCTGATCCTGGATTGATAACCAAACATTTGCCCAAAATATATACATTATATACCCACCATTTCCAGTTGTCGTTGTCCTTGTCGTTGTGGTTGTGATGGTGGTTGTTATTCTTGTTCTTGTTGTGGTTGTCGTTGTCGTTGTTGATGCTGTAGCTGTAGCAGTAGCAGTAGCAAGAGCCGCAGCAGCAGCAGCAGGAGCAGTAGCAGTAGCAGTAGGAGTAGGAGGAGTAGTAGTAGTAGTAGCAGTAGTAGTAGTAGTAAGTAGTAGTAGTAGTAGTAGTAGTAGCAGTAGTAGTAGTAGTAGTGGTAGTAGTAGCAGTAGTAGTAGTAGCAGCAGTAATAATAATACTAGTAGTAGTAGTAGTAACGGCAATAGTAATAATAATATTGGTATTATTATTATTAGTAGTAGTAGTAGTTGTTGTTGTAGCAACAGCAAAAGTAATAATAATACTAGCAGTAGTAGTAGTAATAATAATACTAGCAGTAGCAGTAGCAGTAGTAGTAATAGTAGTAGTAGTAGTAGTAGTAGAAGTAGTAGTAGTAGTAGTAGTACTAGTAGTAGTAATAATAATAATGCTAGCAGTAGTAGTAGTAATGATAATGATAACAATACTAGCAGTAGCAGTAGTAGTAGCAGTAGTCGTAGTGGTAGTAGTAGTAGTAGTAGGTAGTAGTAGTAGTCGTAGTGTAGTAGTAGTAGTAGTAGTAGGTAGTAGGTAGTAGGTAGTAGGTAGTAGGTAGTAGGTAGTAGGTAGTAGGTAGTAGCTGGTAGGTGGTAGGTGGTAGGTGGTAGGTAGTAGGTAGTAGGTAGTAGGTAGTAGGTAGTAGGTAGTAGGTAGTAGGTAGTAGGTAGTAGGTAGTAGGTAGTAGGTAGTAGGTAGTAGGTAGTCGTCGTCGTCGTCGTCGTCGTGGTAGTGGTAGTAGTAGTAGTACTAGTACTAGTACTAGTACTAGTACTAGCGGTAGCAGTAGCAGTAGCAGCAGCAGAAGTAGTAGTAGGAAGGTAGTTAATGATTTGCCCCACGGATTCCAATCGCCATATCAGGTCACCCTGATGGATGGATGGCGTTTCTGCCGGCGACGTGGTTCGGAGGTATTTTCCCGCACGGGCACCAGATCCAAAGGAGATGTGGGGGTGCCTTCCAGCAAGCGGTGGTTGATTAAATTTCACATCAAAAATATACGTTCGTGATGGATCGAAACCAGCCCGGAATTGGGTTCAATCAGCCCTTAGTCAGGAACGATAAGGCAGATATATAGATTCTGTTTATATAGATTACAATCGCGCCCGATGAACAATTTATATAGATTACTGTAAGGGTGAAACTTTTGGCTGTGGGGACCAAGGTTGGGCATCCGGAATACCATTGATGGGAGGAAAGTTGCCTGATTCTGAGCTGCCTCGATTTTTGGATGCCATTTTTGTGGTGGCGGTGCATGACTTGGCAGTTGCTCTCCACTGGCTCAACTGAAACCCGTTCATGGTTGAAACTCATCATGTGATATGACTAAATTTACATTTTTTGATTGTAAATGGACTATTTTCATGGTTCGGTTAGTCCATTTTAAATTTTAATCTTAATTGAACATATTGAACCATGTTTGTTAGGGAACCATGTTGGTTAGTTATAAAAACAACCCTTCCTCTTGATTGATCACCATGGATCACCTGCTGTCCGGCCGCAGGAGATCACCGCGCTACTCGTTCGGCTCCGCGTTTCGGCAGCGGGGGCGCCTTCGGAGTCGCCGTGGCGTGTTGCCATGGCGCTGCTGTGGCGCTTGGGCGGAGTGAAGACCCTTGGCGCGGCGATGAGACTGTAGGAGAGAAGGTAAGGAGATCAGTGGCTCCAGATGGATACATGTATAATAGTCATAGTGGATATTAGTGGATAATAATAACAATAATAGTGGATAATAGCCACTATTATGCACTAATATCGATTAATCATTAATGTCCACTATTTTCCACATGGATCATAATTATCCGGATAATAGTGGATATTAGCGGATATTAATGGATATTAGTGTGATTTTGATGGATAACCTGATGGATAAATAATGTTGTTTTTGGAAGGTGATTCTTGACTTTTCCCAATCGGAAGTCCACCATGACTGGGGAATCTATAGAAATTGTTTTTGATTTTTTGGATGGCATCTTAAGGAAATCAATGAAATGAATGAATGATAGGCATGGAAGGATAAACTATGATAAACTGGAATCTGCAAAACAGGTTTGGTATCAAATGACTTGAAACAAGGCTGTTATATACAACGTATTGGTGTTTGTTTGCCATCAAAAAGGGGTGAACCATGGTGAATTGATGTTAATCATCAGATTGGTGTTTTATTGACTGAAGTACAATGGATAAATTAATGGGGCATTGATTCAGCAACATTTTGGGGAGTCGTAACCAGCAGAATGCTACATAATATGCTTGTCTGATGGTGGATGGATATAAGCATCGAACATAAGATTGCATTCAATGGGAGATAACATACCCTCTGGTAATCAAACGTAGCAATGGACAATTTCTGTGGCAGTTTAAGTGGGAAAATCATCCATACTGGTTGGTGGTTTGGAACATGTTTTTTTCCATTTCATATATGGGATGTCATCCTTCCCACTGACGAACTCATATTTTTCAAGATGCTTAAAACCACCAACCAAATCCATTTTTGATGGTGAAACCCCAATAAATCACCATTTTGGATGGTAAAACTCACCATTTGAAATCACCATTTTCCAAATCGTTAACCAAATATAGGCAGTTTAAGTGGGAAAATCATTTTCAATGGGTAAATCCACTATAAATGGTCATTTTCAATAGCTATTTTGACATAACCAGAGGGTAAAATCATCTATAAATGATGGAGTTTCAACTGCCACCTGATCTGTCGAGTTCGGTGCCTGGTCTACCTGATGCTCCCGTGTCAGGATATGCAGGGCAGCTGTATCTCTGATCTGCCCAGCGGCAAAAAACAAATTGAACGCGTTATTTCCCTTTTTGTAATTCAATGACATTGACATTTATTGACATTTATTGTAATTAATTGAAATGTATTGACATGTATTGACATTTATTTCCCCTTTTGGAAATTCAATGGCATTTATTGACATTTATTGATATTTATTGTAATTGTCCACATTTCTGGGCAAAGCCATCTCAATTATGCTGAGAAATTGATTTGGAATTTCCGGGGTTGTTTATTTCCATCACTGCTTGGGATGGTGATCTCCAGAAATTAGCTAACTTGGATTAAGTGAAAATCTGTAGGAAACCCTTGCATAGCACTAAAGTCCATGGTTTCCGGCAGATGTTTCCTTACACCATTCCATTGAACATCATATTTGTTGATCAAGTTCCCATGTAGAGGACATCCCCAGTACATATTCTATGTATACTGTGTGTATGTTGGTTAAACCGCATGCTTGACATGTTGCTCTTAAAGCAAATCATGCTGGTTAAATCAACACACTCAAAAAGTATTGAAACACAGGATTCAACGTGGTTAAACCCAATGGTTCAATCAAGTGAGTATCTTAAGTCCCTAAGTAAAATCTCAATGATAGTTACTTGTCGATATAATAAACTTGGGTGGTTTATTATAGTGTTTTTCCTCGCCGGCTAGGTGAGTTAGCAAAGGTGCAACTCTTCCTTCCTTCTCCTCCTCCTCTGCGATCTCCGGGTGTCGTGGAGTTTGCTTGGACCCGAACACCACATCGCCAGCGCCTGATGCTGGCACGCCTGGGCCAGAACACATGTGAGATAGAATGCCAGAAAAACTGCCAGATAGAATGCCGGAGAATAGATGCCGGAGAGAATGCCAGATGGAATGTCGGAAAGAATGTCAGAATAACAAGCCAGGGCGGGGATCACTCGAAGTAAAACATGTTTTCGAAAGTACAGTGCATCCTGACATACCCTCTGGTAATTTAACGTAGCTATCGAAAATGGCCCAATCGAAATAGTTGATTTGACCTATGAAAATTGTGATTTTCCATGGTTATGTCAACGTTTACCAGAGGGTAAAACCCATGATCATCCCATTATTCACCATTGGTTTTCCTATGGTTTTCCTATGGTTTTCCTATTGTTTTCCTATGGTTTTCCTATGGTTCTCCTATGGTTTTCCTATGGTTGTCCCATGGTTTTCCTATGGTTTTCCCATGGTTTTCCCATGGTTTTCCTATGGTTTCCTATGGTTTCCTATGGTTTTCCTATTGTTTTCCTATGGTTTTCCTATGGTTCTCCTATGGTTTTCCTATGGTTGTCCCATGGTTTTCCTATGGTTTTCCCATGGTTTTCCCATGGTTTTCCTATGGTTTCCTATGGTTTCCTATTGTTTTCCTATGGTTTTCCTATGGTTTTCCCATTGTTTTCCTGTGGTTTTCCTATGGTTTTCCCATGGTTTTCCTATGGTTTTCCTATGGTTTTCAGCCTAAAGGTCAAATTCCAAACGCTTCATCTTGAACCCTAAGGCTCCACCGCATCACGCTGAACGCCGCTCTGCGCGTCTGTGGCGAATCACGCGGCGATGCGTGGAGAACGTGCCTGGCGTTGCTGGGGATGTCCAGGTGCCAAAAAACGTACCTTGAGGCTTGAGGAGTTCTCAAAATAGGGGATCCCCAAAAATCCCCAAAAGAATTCGTTTAGTAAATTTTCGAATTGGATGATTATGGAGTACCTCCATTTTAGGAAACTTCCATTTGTGCTGAGTAGGGAATGGGCGAATGACCCAACCCACATCTATTAACAATCATCATCAAAGATCCCATACCCCCATTCCCTACGTTTAGCGCGAGTAAGGAAATCCTGTTTTCACAGAAGTGAGCCCTCAAACTTCTCAGGCATTTCAATGGGATATTGATATTACCAACATATTTACCAAGATATTGATGGGGTTGACTGGGATTAATGGGATGAAATGCGGCGACGGTCATATTTTTTTGTTTCTGAGAATGAGGTATACGCCAAAATTGCCAGAGGGGATTGGGAAAAAACATATGATAACAAGAGAACGGGCGGTATCTCATTTTCAGACAAATCCTGTTGGTGACTTGACCCAGGCATGGCTATTCATCAGGAAGAAATCCCTGTAGCCACTGGTCATTAACCATTCTTTCAATGGAACGCTGTCCTTGATTTTGGGTAAAATCTGCATGTGTGTCGGGTAAATTCCAATTTTGTGCAGCAAATCGCACATCCAAAACCGCTTAAATCACCATTATTGTTTCGCATTTCCGCATTTTTGATGATCCCAAATGTTGTTGTTTTTATCAATCACAATATGCACATTTTATAGTTTCAATCTATATATATATACATAACATATATATATATATGTGCGTGTGTTGCTTCAGCCATCATGTCACGAAAGCTAGCGTCAGCTAGCTGGAGTCTTCTTGCTTTAGCAAGTATTGGGGGGGCTGCTCAAGGACATCCCGTGATTTTTCACGCGAAAGGGCCCCCCCACCACCACCACCACCATCACCACCATCATCATCATCATCATCATCATCGTCATCGTCATCATCATCGTCATCATCATCGTCATCATCATCGTCATCATCATCGTCATCGTCCTCTCCATCGTCCTCGTCCGCGTCCTCGTCATCATCATCATCATCATCGTCATCATCGTCGTCCTCGTCATCGTCCTCGTCATCGTCATCGTCATCATCATCGTCATCATCACCATCATCATCATCATCATCAGCATCCTCGTCATCATCATCATTATCTATCTATCTATCTATCTATCTATCTATCTATCTATCTATCTATCTATCTATCTATCATCCATCTATCTATCTATCTATCTATCTATCTATCTATCTAATCTATCTATCTATCTATCTATCTATCTATCTATCTATCTATCTATCTATCTATCTATCTATCTATCTATTCATCTATCTATCTATCTATCTATCTATCTATCTATCTATCTATCTATCTATCTATCTATCTATCTATCTATCTATCTATCTATCTATCTATCTATCTATCTATCTATCTATCTATCTATCTATCTATCTATCTATCTATCTATCCATCATCATCATCGTCATCATCATCGTCATCATCATCGTCATCGTCCTCTCCATCGTCCTCGTCCTCGTCCGCGTCCTCGTCATCATCATCATCATCATCATTCATCATTCATCATTCATCATTCATCATTCATTCATCATTCATCATTCATCATCATCATCATCATCATCATCATCATCGTTATTCAATTACATTTTATCATTATTGGCAATTATTGTCATTATCACGAAAGCTAGCGTCAGCTCGCTAGAGTCTTCTTGCTTTAGCACGTATTCCGGGGCTCCCCAAGGACATCACGTGATTTTTCCCGCGAAAGGGCCCCCCCCTGCCCCCTCCCCCATATATATCATTGTTATATATCATTGTTATATATCATATATCAATATATCATTGTTGCATCCTCGTTGGGACGAACAATGCCGCGACACGATGATGACAGTCCCTCCGCAACTCACCTCTTCCCTTCCTTCTTTCTCCTACCCCGCTAGCTTTCGTCATCCACCCCCGGCCTCAAGTTCTTGGTTAGATCATGTTAGATCCATTCTTTGTCACTCACGTCGCATTTTTTTGGGAGATTCTTTATTTTCTTTCTCAAACCACCAATTTTGATGGTAAGCGCTCACATGTTTTTTCAATAAAACCACCATTTTCTGTCGTAAAATCAGAATCTATGGTCAGATCTGTTTTTGTGTCTGGGTGAAATCCGTTTTTTTGTTGGTTACCCTCTGGTTATGTCAAAATAGCTATTGAAAATGACCGAGTTGAAATAGTGGATTTACCTTTACCTATTGATAGCATGGTGATTTCCCATAGTTTTATGTCAACGTTTACCAGATGGTAAAACCCATGATCATCCCATGATTCACCATTGTTAACCATTAAATCACCATTTTCCTAGTGGTTAAATCACCATTTTCCTAGGGTTTTCTTATGGTTTTCCTATGGTTTACCACCATTTTCCTATGGTAAACCAGAGGGTAATCAGCATTTCTTGCTGATGAACGTCCATGGATATCTGGATCGCCGCTGAGCTTTCCAGGGCCGATGTGGTCACCTTCAGCAGCTGTGCGATGGCCCTGGAGCGGCGCTCCAAGTGGTACCTTGGAGTCCGATCTTTTGTGGCTTCAACAAGTAAGGGCGGTTTAACCAACAAGAATTGATATATATATATATATATTCAGATATATATATATATTCAGATATATATATTATGGATTATTGACTTATACGAATTTATGTATGGATATTGCTACTTAAACATACTTAAACTAGTTATGCATGTTTGTGCTGCAAGGACCCAGGACCAACACTTGCTCGTTTACCAGTCTTTGTTTGTCATTTTCCCGATTGCAGTTTCATGGCTATATATAGCTGAATATAGTTCTTTCGGCTGGTGGTTTCAGCTTTCATCTGTTTCATTTTCATCGTCAAAACTGGGATGCTGAGCCCCTTTGGATCACTATGAAACAACACCAAAAAAGGATAGAACATCATAGACCAGTTTTTTTCCGCTGAAAACGAGCATGTTTTCCCAGAATTGCGAGATTTCCCCACGACTTTTCTCAATGGGTAGGGGGGTTGCTATAAAAATGGGCTGTCCAGGTGGCTCCTTCAGCCGCCAGGATGGGATCTTGCAGCCTTTTGCACCTCCTGCAACGCACGGGAGTGCAAGGAGACATCGTGGCTTATGGTCACTAGGTTTTAACGCCTACCAGGTGGTGCCCCCAGTCGATAGCGTTCAGTTGGTGCGTTTAGAACTCCAATTTCACTATGATTTTTGTTGGTGATGTAAGTGATATATCTATAGTTTTCATGGGGTGTATACACCAACAATCATCACTGAGGGGGGCACCATCTCCCAAGGTTGGAGAAATGAACTTGGCCAGTGAGTTGATGGAGTAAACCTAGAGATTTCAACATGGACACCGGCCAGGGCTGCTTAAAATGTCGTTCGTTTTTTTTCAATGGGAAACAAAACCGCCCAGAGAGCTTTGAAATTGCGGGTTTGGGTGTGGATTTCGTACGGCGGATGGAATATGTTGGAACAAGACTGACACGATAATTCCTATAATTCTTGCGACAGCCAAAGTCCCTGAAGAACGCAGACATGTCAACAGCTGTTGCTCCGATGATCTTCCTGCGAGGCACCGGCATTTCAGCATGCGCTGTGGGCAAAGCGTGGAAATTGGCCCTGCGTTTGTGGCTGGGCTCGGCGCTGAAATGTTTGTTTTTTTTGGTGTGTGTATGTGTGACAAACCAGGTGATGTGTGTTTCTATCCCATCATTTTCACACAAACCTTGGAGAAATCCAAGGAAATGTTGCTTTCGATTTTAGATTTTGGCGCGAGGTTTGATGACCTGCATCTTCAACTTCTTCAGGCAAATGCGACTCAGCTGGGAACAACCAAGGGCGCTCTCTTGCCGCTGTTTTAAGAGAGGTTTAGGAGATGTTTTTTTTGATTTCTTTATGGTGTTCGACCGCGACCCTGTGGTACTCAAACTTGGCAATGGAACATCTCCCATAAAGAAGGTTTTATTTGATTTAATGTGACAATTAGATATCCAGAAATGGGTTGTGTTTCATTTCCATATGTGATTGCCAGAGGATAGACGCTTTGATTTTCGGGATTTTTCGGGTCACAAAGGAGTCTCTATCAGTATCTCTCTCTCCCCCTCTCTCTCTCTCTCTCTATAGCTATATATATATATCGATCTATCGATCTATCGATCTATCGAGCTATCTATCTATCTATCTATCTGTCTATCTATCTATCTATCTATCCATCCTGTTTTTCCTGTTTTGGTAGAATGGCTGGTGTCTCCAGCAACATCCCAACATTTTCATGTATTGGCGGGCCGCACATAGCCGAGTGCATGGGTTTTCGTTTGCCTTTCCCGGAACCACCTGGAACCATGGGAGAAAACAATGCAATGGTGGCCTTGTGGCCTTGTGTATGTCAGATGATCAGACCCACTAATTCTTTGCCAGCTCTTGCAGCTCTTGAAATCAGAATCAGTTCTTCCATTCAATCTATGCCCGATGCAGTTGCAGCAGTCCTAGCTGGTTCTAGGCTGGGGTTCTCCTGTAAACCAACATGGCAATGGAAAATCAATACCCTCAACTTCTAAAGGTATATAGCACCCAAACCTCTCGGCCTTTTTGAATTATGTACTTTAGACCCTCGGGACATTGCCCAACAAAACCTTCCTACAAGAAATGTACCTTTGCTTCATTCCTCATCATAAATATTATGTGTGATTTCCCTTATATTCAACAAGGCTAATTGTTGTCCATAAAACAACGCAAAACAAATTGTGTCGATCACACCATGATCTGGCAGATTTTTTTTGGGATCATGAATGAAGAGAGCTACAACACCAATGTTAGTGTTTTGTATGGGGAGTTCCGCTAACTTCCAGGGTCTAATCCACAATCCTCTTGGTGGTTCTTATCACCAAACACTATCAAGTCATGAGGAGTCGGCAAACAATTTGTTTCAGGGCAGAGGCCCATTCCACAGGGTCTTCAACAGACTCCTCATGTTTTTCATGACCTGGAAGCGATTGGAGGCAGCTGAGTGCCAAAGAGTGGGGACTTTAGACCCTTGGTCTCCTGTAAGCCCAGAAGGTCTACGTCAAGCCCAAAGGGTTGCAGGGTTTAGACCCTGTTTCAGGGTCTAGATTAAAATATACTGGGGCACCCCCTAGTAGTTGAGGGAATGAACACCACCCATTTGATGTTTTGTTTTTCAAAAACTCCATGTATAGAGTTCATTTTCCAGCTTGTCATGTTTGATTAGCAAAGGGTATACTCCCAGAATATTGTAATTATTATATCGAATAATTCCCGTTGCTTGTTGGTTGAACGGATGGTTTAAGCAACAACAATATAACTTTTGTAATGTAGGATGTGTAGGCAAACCCTCCCAATTATAAACCGGTAGAGGTTTAATGATATACAACCACCAGGATTACCATAAACCACATGGACGTAAATCATTAGTTTATATATAGATATGTATATACATGTATATTGTAAATTCTTTCGTTCTCTCTCGTCCAAGTTTATGTAATGCGGATTATATGTTCATTTTTAACCATCATATAATCCACTACAATCGCCTTTTTGCCCCAGGTTATATAGTACCAGGATGATCTAATATGGATTTCAAATCCAGGTAGTGGTGGCCACCAGTATCCTGACCTCCGGCTGCAGCTGGTCCTCCTCCCTGCAGCGTGCCTTGCGGCTGGCGATCCCCGGCGACGCGCTGCGGGTGGCTGTGGCGGCCAACGTGGGGGCCTGGTGCGCGGGGGAGGGGAGGTGGGAGCGTCAAAGGTGGGGAAATCCCGGGAAAGTTGGGGAAAATTTGGGTTTGTTGGGAGGTTCTGCTATCAAAGGTAGGTCATGTCAGGTGGGGAAAGAGACAGACATTGAATTTCTGCGAAAGCCATAGATGGAAATGGTGAATGGTGGGTTTTACATGGTCAGATGAAGAGGTTGAGGATAGGGTGATGGCTTAACAGGTGGTAAAAATCATATAGAATCTTAGTGTATTGAAAGGAAAGAAAATTGGATGAACGGAAATGGGATGGTCGACCATCCTCGTGGCGCTTTGGACTGGGAATGGAACTAAGGAAACTTCCCAGCAGGTAATGTGGTATTGAGATACGATCATATGCGGTCCCTTATAAGTTTGTTTGTTATTGCCTTGCAAAGAATTGATGGCTTCCCACCTGGCGATTCCAAGCCAATTCCAACATGGATCGGGTACGGTATATGGTCACCAGATGCGACCAAAGATGATGGAACTTTGACCATAAGATGAGCACCACAACAAACGAAATATACGGCCCCCAACAAAAATTGAACAAACCAAATCAATATTTAAAGGTACCACCAAAGAAGATATACTTAGGATACCATAAACATATCATTAAGATACCACCACCGCCATAAGATCCAAAGAAAACATGGCAGAGGCGTTTGGCTGCACAGATGGCGTCCTTTCAGCCGCTGTCTCCTGTGGCGGTGAATGTGGTTATCCGTTGCTTCTCTCGGATGGGGCTGTGGGAGTCGGCGGAGCATGTGACTTGGCGACTTTGAAGGGCCAAAAACAACTGCGAGGTGTGGCTTCCATATGGGAAGACTAGGAAACCATAGCAAAACCATGGAAAAATCATGATTTATTTATACCAAAATGTTGGTTTCATGGGATTTTTCAGCTGATTTATGATAGCACAGTCGACGCACATAACTTGTTTCACGTTTCGGATTATTATGAGGAAATAGCTATAGTTAATGGGGTTTATAAACCTCCTTGTAACGCTATGTGACACAGTGAAAATGTCGTTATTTACCCCCACAACTTGATAAACATTGCATTTTAATAGGGAAACTTGCGATTAACCAGGAATGGAATGCCATATTACCCTAACATGTTCAGACAGACCCAACTGTGATATACTATGATGAACCGGTGCGTTGTAGGGGCAGCGTGTCCCACAGTTGAGGTCTATTTCATTCTATTTCAGTAGGTTCAGTTGCTGCAAATTTTCCAGATTGCTGTATACACCGGTTTTCCTGCTTGTGGGGTCTACGTTGAGTGGGGAACATGATGATAAACCACTGGATTTCGGAAGAGCATATGTTCAGACACATCAACATCATGCACCAGAATCGATGTTAGCAAGATCCTGATTCAACCAGATTCAACCGTCCAAAGTTGTGAAAATATCATGAAACATCAGATCCAGTCATGATGGATGTTTACTTCTTTAAGCTGGTGACTCCCATCCCCCGAAAGAAAAAAGAACACCCCATCGACTCGGGTAGCTGCGTAGTCGTGACGTTTGTCCCGCATGTGCAACTCGTGGAGGGAAACATACCTCGTAAATGATCACTATTTTAGTGGAATTGTCCTTTTCCACCTTTTTGGTGGTTACTTTTGAACATTTCGGAACCCTTTGAATCAAGGATACAGGTTTAAGGAATCGTCCAAAATTGGACTATAGTTTGAGTCCCTTGGGTTTAAATACCATGTCGGGTTCTTACTATGACAGGTATTACTCCGTTTTTGTTGGTTAGAATCTCCACTGCCTGGGGTTAAATCATGTTAAATCCTGACTTTGCAAGCAAAAAACCGTTTCCATCTCTTGTCTTAGGTTTAAACAGAAATGAGTTTGTTTTTAATGTTTTTTGGTGAACACCAACTTTTAAAGTTCGTAGTATGGACCCATGGTCAATAAATCAGCCGATTTGACCCAGATCCTGCGCAGCCTCCCCCAGCAGCGGCTCCGCGCCTCCGTCGTCTCCACCTCCGTGGCCCCGGCGCCACGTGCCACGTGGCGCCGATCGCTGCGATGGCTGGGCAACGCCCAGCTCCAGAGCTACGTGGCCGTGCTGAATTGCTGCAGTGCCTGGGGATGGAAACATGATGGAAGTGTGGGATTTTGAGCAGAAACCATGGAGGCCTTCAAAAACATGTAGCAAAAAAGCCGATACGGTGATTTTTTTAAGCGGAAAATCACCAGTTTGAAGAGCGAAATCAGCGGAATTATAAATGTCAAGGTTTAATAGCATATATCTATGTTAAATTACCAGAGGGTAAGGGGGATGAAGCGTGAACAATGATGCATGGATTACATGTTCATCCTATGATTGGAAATTGGGTGGCAGTTTCATCAGTGAAAGGTAGACTTAACCAGTAGAAATGAGGATTTAAAGGTTATAGCGACGGACAAATATTTAGAACATCATTTGGAAAAAAAATCTGAAAACCGTCACAGCGGGGATGTTCTAAGTATTGGGTCGTTAGAACATACCCAAAACCTATACTTAGAACATTTCCAAGCTATACTTAGAACATCCCAGTGGGGAACCAATGGGAACCATACATATATGTATGTTCGAAGTATTTGTCCGTCGCTAATTATATATATATATATATACACTATATAATACTATATATAGATATATTTATTTAAGGGCTGCCGCCCCTGCCGCCTAATTTTCCCGAAGAAAAGGTATAGAATGCTGCAGCAGTGAGGGGAGAAAGTGTTCTAAGCATGGTGTTCACCAAGGTATTTGTGTGTATATATGCAGATTTACCAAAGTAACAGGACATGTTCTAAGTATATGTGTGTTTAATGTTCTAAGTATGCAAAAAATCAAAGGAGGTGTTCTAAGTATCTGTTTTTCTGATGTTCTAAGTGCGTACTTAGAACATTTCTGATGTTCTAAGTGTAGTTGTTTTGATGTTCTAAGAAAAGGTTCCGAAATTTTGGAAAAATTGATGTTCTAAGTATATGTCCGTCACTATACATTTTTTAGATATGGAATGTACAAATAAGACTTGATCTTATTGTTGGGTGTCTCTAACGATGGTGTGTTTTTTTCGGTACTCTATATTCAAGACAACCTTGATTACAATGATTGCAATTTTGGAAAGGTAGTTTTTTCTTAAACCAGAATGGAGCATATTCGATATCCAAATTCCCGCAGTCTTTTTCCAGGTTTTTTTGGAGTTTCTTGACTTCTGACTTAAGACTTGGACCTGGAGCGGACAGGTTGGCAGAACGCTCTTGGGTTGATGCACCGCATGCCCGAGAAAGTTGCTGGGCGGCTAAACAGGTCAAATGCGATGGAAATTCGTCAGATCAAAATCCACAGGTACTACTGGTTGGTGGTTTCAGTCATGTTTTATTTTCCATAATATATGGGATAATATATGGTTAAAACCACCAACCAGCTAGCATGACGATTTTAGGCATATTCGGATTGTTTCTGAATCTAAGTGAAACAAAATTCTACTTTGGAAAGAGATGGGCTGACCCCTTGGTACTGGGATGTGCCGGAATTTCGTTGAGCAAACGGGACGCACCACCCCCCCTTGAACAGTTCCATCAGCGGTGGGTTTGCGTTTCTTCACCCCAAATTTGTCGCCAAAACGCCGATTCTTGTAATGAGGAAGTGGTCTTTCAAGGCAGAATGCTTGGGAGTTCCCTGTTGCTTTTCCAGGGTATGAATTTCAAGCATCTATGGATCTCACGTAATCTTACCTTGAATCACAGCAATCCTTAGGTCGGTGCCTCGGTTTTTCCTCCATTGCTAGTGAGAAAATGACCAGCCTATTTCATGGGGGTTGCAATGTTAGGTCGCTACAAATAGAGTTCTTTGCGTTGGTACGCACCAACAAAGCATATCAAAGCATTGAGGGATATTAATCAGATGAGCCTTTAGACAAATAACAACGCCGTTATGAAGTCTAAGGTGATCCCCTTGCAGTGGTCAGGTAACGCTTCCCTTGGATCCTCCCAGTGCTACGAACGCTTACGAACCAGTTTGGATCAGTTCTGCACATGGGTATGTATACCTTGAACAGCCTCCTTTTACTAAACTGTCGGAGATCCGAGATCCTTTGATCCTTTTACACACTCTTGTTGGATCTTTCGAAATGGGAAACATTCGGGCACAGTCAACAAACATGATACTGTAAAAGAAAGCACAAAGACCCTTTTGGAGGATCCAACCATATTTTGATGAAGCCAGCGTATTGCCCGTGAATAGTCATAATTGTCTCCATTTAGATGGTTGTTTGGCAATATTTGGAGCTATTTAATATATTGTTTAATCATTCATCAGTTTCAGGAACGCCCAGTGAATAAGTATAGCAATCCTATTGGGTATTCGATGTTAATTGCATTTATTATTCATGGAGCAAACAATACCCTCCGGTATTGTCCATGTGTATGTGTTGGGTATTTTCCGTTGGCATGTTTGATTGCCAGAAGGTTTTTTGCAATTACAATTTAGTTGTTGCTGGGTTTCATTTCCAATGTATATATATATATATATGTATATATATGTTATCATAATTCTTTATATGTTCCAATTTTATTATCCATTAGACATTGGAAGGTGTTATCTTATTGCCATTTAATCACCATTGTATATATATATATATTAACTTTACCTTACTATTTGAGTTGACTATATAAGACTATCCTATAGTTATAGCCCAGTTATAACCCAGTTATAGCCCAGGCTTTACAACTGGATCTGCAGACCCTGAACAGCGTCCTGGTTCTGCTCAGCACCAGCCGCGGGAAGGGCACAGACTTGTGGCGTTTTGGCGCCGTGACCTGGCAGAGTTGATCTAGTTTCATGGTGTTCATGGTAGGGATGCATATATTTAGAGAATATATATATATATGTGTGTGTGTATGTGTGTATGTATGTATTGAATTTTGTAGAAACTTGGTGGAAATTGACTTTCAGAAAATTGATTTTAATTGATTTGACTGCAACACTTTTTGAGGTTTGACTAGACATAATGAGGTCAACCATGGCTGGGTGAGAAATACAAAGTTCTAATGTGGGGTATCAATTGCAAAGCTTCCTGGCTTTCCACTGCCAGCTCAGATTACCAGAGGATAGTTGTTTGTTCCAAACAAAGTTGATAGCGGCCTATTCACCATAGATTCAAGGATGGGTCGGGCGAAAAATGTTTTTTTTAGGTATTTGGGGCTAAACATGTTTTCTTGTGGATTTCTCCTTCAACCAATCCATGGAACATCAAGCATTAGTGAATCCCCCCAGGTTTTTGGCACCTGGCTGGCCTGGCCGGGGCCCTTGGCTTCAGGTCTTACTTGAGCAGCAAAGCTTGCAGCCAGATGTGCTGAGTCACCACAGCTTGGCCGTTGCCATGGAGGTCGACGAAGGTACCCCGGTGATCCCTGGTGAACATCAAAGTTCATTCCCCCAAAAATGTATCAAAATGTGGCAATAGCTAACTGGACACATCTGAAGATTCCTCGGATCTTGACATTCCTCCATTTTTTGAGAGGAATGTAATCATGGGAGTGTTGTTCTCTCTTCCACGGTTGTTTCAGGTGGGTGTCTTTGTGACATATGGTGCATTGTTAGCGGGGCACCATCAGGTATATACTGCCGCCCCGAAGGTCTTTGTGAGATGAATGTGAGAGGAGTCTGAAGTGGAGCATCCATGATATTTTAGTATCCTCCTCTGTACTACCAGTTTTTTTCCTGGGGGTTCAGTACGCTTTTTAAAAAACACTATTTTCCAAAAATCTAGCAGACAGTGGGTGAGGGGTCCCGGGGCATGATATGGGGCCAGGAATAAAATATCATACCAAAAAAGGCCCAGATTTTTTTCCTGCGTACAGCGACAGGAAATCAATTTCTGTCTGTTGTGATTGAGGGGGGGTTGATCTATCAGTCTGTGTATGTAAGGCATCAGGAAATCAATCATGAATGACTCTGATAATGGGTAAGTTTGTAGAATTCCCAAGGTTAGTAGCCAGGAATTTGAAGGTGGATGGATCAAATGGGAGTTTACTAGAACATATCTAAATGCCAAACCCCAGGAAAAAATGTACCATGATTAATTGAGGGGGTATGATTCTTTACATGACTTTGCAAAAGGGTACAGACACATATGTTCACTGCCCAGGGGTTGGTAAATGTCCCATTTTGGGAATATTGGACATCACCTTATAGTAGCCATTATAGACCATATACCTAATGGTTGGGTGATGTTCAATGGGGACATTTAATGACCCACCTTCACCAACAAAAAAAGTGACTTCAAGAGGCCAAGGCGCAGGGGTCAAAAATAAAATCCAAGGGGCTGGACCTTTTTTGACTGAATACTTGCGGATGATCTTCGAAGGTTGGCCCCACAGGAAAAAAGTCGCATCACCAGGCCAATCATCCACAGATAGGACATGATGGGACGAATTCAAGAATTTTGTGTCAACGCGCGCCCAAATTACAAAACACATGTTTTTTGCTGAAAATGCATTTGTCCTTGCAAAAGGGTACAGACACACATGTTCAGCTTCACCAACCAAAAATGTGACTTGAAGAGGCCGAGGCGCAGGTGTCAAAAATAAAATCCAAGGGGCTGGACCTTTTTTTGACTGAATACTTGCGGATGATCTTCAAAGGTTGGCCCCACAGGAAAAAAGTCGCATCACCAGGCCAATCATCCACAGATAGGACATGATGGGACGAATTCAAGAATTTTGTGTCAACGCGCGCCCAAATTACAAAACACATGTTTGTTTGCTGAAAATACAGTTGTCCTTGCAAAAGGCTACAGACACACATCTTCAGCTTCACCAACCAAAAAAGTGACTTGAAGAGGCCGAGGCGCAGGTGTCAAAAATAATATCCAAGGGGCTGGACCTTTTTTTGGCCGAATTCTTGTGGATGATCTTCAAAGGCTGGCCCCACAGGAAAAAAATCGCATCACCAGGTCAACCATCCATAGATAGGAAATGATGGGACAAATTGAAGAATTTTGTTCCAACGCGTGGCCAAATTACAAAACAGGCGATTTTTCCTGAAGATACATTTGTCCATGCAAAAGGGTTGCGCATTGCCGTGGGCATTTTGCCGGACCGCACTCGTGAAGCCGTGGACTCTGAAAAACTGCGAGCTGTTAGCCGGGAAGTCAGGTGCCAGGACTTCATTTTTTTCCGTATCAGATTGAGGGGGGGAAGATATGGCATGTTACCAACGCAAGCATCCAGGAAATAATTTTTTTACTTGGATATCAGAGGGGTAATTTTATTGGATGTTGGACGTTGGGCACCAGGAAATTGGCAAAGAAAATTCAAAAAGGTGGTTGGAAGTGAGATTTCGGCTTCAGAGGTTAGGAGCCAGGAATTTAAAGCTCTAAAACCACTCTCAAAGGTTAGGGGTCATCATTTTAGACCGATTTTCTTCTAGGACTGTACCCCACGTTGTACCGACGGGGATTTTTAGTGGATGATGGAAGAAATCCCGTAATGGATGAATTGGAGACTGCGGCTTGGTCAGGTGCAAATTTTCATCAAGCTGCAGGACATCAGGTAGCCAGTGTACCATCTAGGGGTGCATGTTTGGGACCGTTTATATAGGAGTTATATCCCCACTGCTTGGGGTTATTTTGTCCATCAACAACCCCAAAAACAACTCGTGAGTTTCTGCTGAGGCACAGCGCTGATGCTAAGTCGAGTGCTACTAGACATGGAAGTCTCGTGTTTGGAGGCCCTCAGGGCAGTTGAGCTTGGCCTGGCAGGCGGTTTCTCGGACGAGTTGGGAATGGCTGGCGCTGCTCTTCGACAAGTTTGCGGGATGTACATGGATGTGCCAACAGTTTATATGATTGGGGTTATGTTTGAGGGGCAATCACAATGAGAACTGGCTGGTGGCTTCCAAAAGTTCTTACATTTTTCATAGATGAGGATCCGTATTGACTTTCATATTTGGGGCCTGAAAGCACCAACCAGGTCTCCCCTTGGCAGCCCAGGTCCACATTCGCAGCAGCAGCGCAGCAGTGCGCAAAAATGGCCGCTGTTTTTTTTTGGGGGGGGGTTCAGGGGTCTCCTATTTTTCAGTACCATTCAATACCATTTAGTACCATGTTAGTACCATTACGGTAGCACATGTTAGTACCATTTAGTACCCGCATGATGCTCCATGTATGGCATGAATATTCCTCCCATGCCTGGGTGGTCCAGACACCAAACCAACAAAAGCATTCGGGTGTGTGTATTTACGCATTCACACATGGATTTTGCCACGTACGCATATATGTATAATAATATATATATATATGTTACCCCCACTGAAACCTACCATTTTTTCATATTCATCACATGGTTGGGTCAAGAGGGGGTTACCTTACATACAGGCTTATTTTGAGGTTTTGGGGAAATTTTGGCAATAGTTTCAGGAGGGGGTACTGTATATGTATATATAGCAGTGTAGCAAGCAATTTAGTCTGATTTAACGTAACTTAACTCAATGATAGCATTCTGGGAAGAATGCATTCAGAATGCATTCCGTGCTAAATCAAAGATCTAAGATTTTCGCAGGACTCCTGAACAAATCTTAGACTTTCCAAACCAAAATCTAAGATCTAAGATTCCCCAGGAACCCTGAGCAAATCTTAGATTTTCCTGACCAACATCCAAGATCTAAGAAAGCCTGGAAAATCATTGAGCACACCGTGAATTATTTGTACAGATGAACAAAATAGCATTTTTCCCTTGAATGAAAAACTGAGGAGGTCTATTTTGCTTTTCGTTTTTCTCCGTGTTTGTTTTTGGTTTTACAGCCTGGCTTTTGTGGCTTCTGTGGCTTTTGTGGGTGTGTGGTTTTTGTGGCTTTCCATGCTTTGCCTATCTATCTATCTACCTGTCTGTCTATCTATCTATCTATCTATCTGTCTAATCTAACCTAATCTAACCTAATTTAATCTAACCTAATCAAACCTAATCTAATCTAGTCGTATCTAATTTTATTTGGTTTTATTTTATCTTATCTTATCTATCTAATCTATCTAAAGTATGTATCTAAAGTATCCATCTCAAATATCTACCTAATCGATCTGAAGTATCTATGTAAAATATCTATCTAATCGATCTAATCTATCTAATATATCTAATCGATCTAGTCGATCTAATCTATCTATTTTTCTAATCTATCTCATGAATCTATCTATCCACTGAATCTATGAATCTATCCATCTATATATCTATCCAATATCTATATTATCTTATCTTATCTTATTTTATCTTTCTAGTCTAACTAATCTAATCCAATCTAAACTAATATTATCTTATCTTATCTTATCTTATCCTATCTATCTATCTATCGTTCGATCGATCGACCGATCTATCGATCTATCGATCTATCGATCTATCGATCTACCGATCTATCGATCGATCTATCTATCTATCTATCTTATCCTATCTATCTACCTATCTATCTATCTATCTGTCTATCTATCTATCTATCTATATCTATCTATCTATCTATCTATGTACCTATCTATCTATCTATCGATCGATCGATCTATCTATCTATCTATCTATCTCTCTTATCCTATCTATCTACCTATCTATCTATCTATCGATCGATCGATCTATCGATCTATCGATCTATCGATCTATCTATCTATCGATCTATCTATCTATCTATCTATCTATCACTATCTATCTATCTATCTTATCCTATCCATCTACCTATCTATCTATCTGTCTGTCTGTCTATCTATCTATCTATCTATCTTTTCACACACACACACACGCACCTTGTATCCCTACATGTCCCTTAATCCAACCCTCAACGGCCTTTAAATAGACCCTAAACCAACCCTAAATAACCCTAAATAAACCCTAAACCAACCCTAAATAACCCTGAATAACCCTTAACCAACAAGAAATAAACCCTAAACAAACCCCAAATAAACCCTAAACCAACCCTAAATAACCCTGCTGAATAAACCCTAAACCAGCACTAAATTAAGCTTAAAAATCTTAAACCAACCCTGAACCAAACCTCAAAAAAAACTAAGCCCACCAACACTATGATAGCATTCAATGCCACTATTTAGACCCAACAGGGTTGTGCTTCAACCTATGTTCTACATGTTCACCATGTGCATGTTATGCAAGGAAAAATCGATTGAACACATGGAAAAATCCGTTGTAACCATGTAAAACTCACTGAACATGGAATAATCTATGAAAACTTTGGGTTAATCAATGAACGCCATGGAAAAATCGAGTAAAATCATGGAAAAAATCGATGAACCGTGCACATGGCAAATTCTAGCTCCAAAATTCAGCAAAGTACAAGTTTTTGCTCCGAAATGTAGCAAATAGCAAGGAAAAGTGCCCCAGACTGAAAAAAAAACGCACCCAAAAACTAATTGACAAGAGCAGACTTGTTCAAAGTACTACTGCATCTATTGAGGTGTTGTATGCCAAAGCAATGTCGAATTGTCTAGAAGAAATGCCCCACCGTGTTTACGGAATGTATCACTCTTGTCAATGGAACATTGCAAAAAAGTACTGTATGTAGTGCTATACTACAACTCTTTTCGAAGTATATTACTGTTTCCAGTGAATACTGCATAGACTAAGAGAGCTTTCTTATTAAAGTAATTCTGTGCCCTTCCAAGTCACTTTTCTTCAGAAGGGGCACTGTCAATCTCACAGAGGTAGCATGTGTGAGTTTTTTGTTTCGGCAAAAATGGCTCACATTTGTTCATTTCAAGTATACACAATTACTGTCAAAAAATGAGTGCATACTGACTCTAGCAAGCACACTGTAGCAGTACTTGTGCCACATGTGCAGCATTTTCTTTTAAACAACCAACTTGTTTTTCAACAAATATAGTGTCACTTAAAGGAAAACACGTATGTTCTTCAAAGTAATGATTGACTACATGTCTGAAGTTAGTCTTATTTTATTTGAAGATATACTGCATTTGATTGAAAAATGCCTTGTATGTTGCAGGGACTTTTTGTGCAACGTGCTTCTGTACATTATGAAGTGGGTCTGTGCTCATGTTTTGAATTAAGGAATGCATATTTACATTTTGGGGAAAAACACTACCTGATCGAAATGAAGAGATATATTTTCAAGAGAGAAGTGGCTTCTGCAAAGGAATGCTACCTGCTACCTATTGAAAAGGAATCCTTTTTTCGCTTATGGAATGCTACACCCTGTGAATGAAAGTGTTTGTTTGTAAAGCCTGCTCTTGTCAATTAGAATTGGTTCTTCAAGAGAAGGATGCATGGTTGATCGTCTCTGTTAGTCATTTACAGTTTTTTCACTGTCTTTTTCAGATTTGGGGAAAAGACCCAAAGTTGAATGCGTTTTTTTCATTTAGGTTGAATCACTACTTAAAGGAAACTTTGCAGAGAGGTGGAGGTACTAGCAGGTACGTAAATTATACTTAAAACATAGTTTGGAAGGGGTAAGAACTAAGAGGTCGTAGGACCTTCTAAGACCCACACATCCAAAGTATTGAGCCACTGCAGTGGTACAACAAGAGACAGAAGCTACATAGTAAGGAAAAAGAGGCCAAAGACACATCTACCATGTTGATCATCAAATAATAATATGTCTGCAAGATTTGAACGTGTACAAAATCCAAAATTCATGTGCCACAAGAAGGAACAAAAACATTGTAAAAACCAATGTGAAGCTTAAAATTGACATTTGGCCACAGCGCCGTGCGCATTCTGTCAATGTTTGAGTCGAAACTCCTTGCTGGGAGCCCAATACGGTAGTCGAAAACGTTGCAAATACCATCAAAATATGTCATTGTATCTACACATGAAGCATCATAACTCATCACACTCAAACATCCAAAGCCTTCAAATGAATGAAAGAATGCTGGTTGTTTTTTGAAGGCAAAAACTCAAAAACAATCAAAAACACTGTAAAACACAATAAGAATATAAGAAATCAAAACCGGTAGGTTTCAGAGGGGGTGAGCATGCATATATATATATATATATATATATAAAGAATAGATATAGATGTGTGTGTGTGTGTCATTCAAACATATATACATATGCATATTTATGTTTGAAGAGGAAATCATCCAGCCGCATCCAGCCTATGTTTTTACGCATATGTCATGTGAACCATGTGCCATGACTAGTACTCAGTTAGAAGTTAGAAGAGTACCTGGATGAGCACAGCTCTACTTGTATAATGTCCATGCTACATTCCCTTGTTTTGTGGTATGCATTTTGTAGACATATGTTGCGCCAACACAGTTCCAGTAGACAATTCCTAAAAAAACATATTGTTTAATCATTGCCATTTGCTGGTTATTCTGTATTTGACAAATTAATACTCTCCAGATATCTAACGTAGCCATGGAAATTATCAATTTGCTTGCAGAATATTTAATATTTACCTATTTATTATCATGACCATCATCCATCGTGTTCCATGGCTATGTTGGAGTACCCGAGGGTATCCCATGTCCATAAATTTCCAACTATGACTACCGGGTAAAACCTATTCTTACTATGAAAGTTATATACCAGTTGTTTCCAATGTTAGTACGGTTTTACTTTTGAAAAACTGCTTGCTAGCAAATATATATATATATATATGTTATACATAGGAATATAGGGTATGCACCCTATCTATCTATCTATCTATCGATCTATCTATCTATATATATATATATATATCCCAGTTCCATTCCACCCACACACATAAATAAATATATATATATATATAATACACTTATCCCAGTTAGATTACTGCATATAAACATTCACCCTCGGTGAGTCAAACGTGGCAATGGACAATCCCCAATTGAGCATTTCATTTATGGTGGGTTTTCCGTCCACGTTTGGTTCCAAGAGGGCATGTTCCTATCACATCCGAATTATCCCGATCATTGTCCCAACCCTATCCCTATAAATCTATTTAAGCCTAGTATATGTCACATTATATCCCAAATATTGTCCCAATCATTATCCCAATTATATCCTTATAAATCCGTGTAAGCATGGTATAGATGACATTATATACATTTTTTTGCTCCAATCATGATTCGGATTAAATCCCTACTTCTTATCGTTGTTGGTTAACACGTTCATTTTGCATCATTCGAATATCTAGTCTCCAGACCCCACTGCGTCGGCTGCGAACTGCTCCAGGACGTGATCACGGCCAACGCCGGCGACAGCCGCGCGGTGATGTGTCGCAAGGGGCAGGCGGTGGAGCTGTCGTATGACCACAAGCGGCTTGGCGGATGCGGCCGGATCTGGATCGACCCGGAGAAATGATCAAAAATCAACGGTTAGAGTTGGAATTATCCAATGGGATATTAATGAGTTGGAATTTCAGGGCCCTTTAAAAGATTGAGAACCTAAAATAGACATACCATATGTTGGGCCGTGTGTTGGGGGTATATCCCCTTACAACGTGACCACTGCTTCCTGTCAGGCCAGCTTCTGAGACTGAAAAGAAGCGGATTGAAGCATCTGGTGGATGGCTGGAGGATGGGACTGGTATCACTAGGGGGGAGGATTTTACCATTGCGGTTGGAGCATCCCCCCAAAAGATAGAAAAGTAAATCGTACCTATTGTAGCTGGAGTTTACCTTTCTTTCTTGTTTGGCGGTACTATAATGTTCGCAAGCCATGGTTGGTTTTTCCATGCATGACGATACATCACACTTATGCGCACAAATATGGGTTAATGTCACATCGACGCTGCCAATTTGCAAAATTATGATTATAACCAAATACTCACACCATAAACCAGATCAATTCATTCTTGTATAATTTAGGTTGGAGACTAATGATACCAATGTTGGATACTTGCCGAAGCATCAATTATTGAAATTATTGTGATTGATTCTCCTACAAATATCAATATATATATATATATAGATATTGATCATTTCGCTAGCTAGCTCTTACCAGCCACTAACTCACTAGTATCACCAACATGACCAACCAGTGATTCAGTAACCATCTACTCACTAATATTAAAGTAACCAACTAGTAATTGCCAATATCCATGCACCAATCTTACTAATTCACCAATAATAACCAACTAGTACCAGTTTTAGTCATATTGATGAATACTGGTGATATCCGATGATATTGGTTCATCAATGGATACCATATCATGACAATTATTTATCAATTTCACAAATATAGTGGTTGATTCACCAATATAATCAGCAATTGGTGGTTCACTAGTATTGGTGATTTATATTTGTTACTAATTCATGACTATTATAAGGGTTACTAGCCAACTATTTGGTTACTAATTTTACTTGTGGTTAGTACCCAACTAATATGACTAATGAACAACTATTATTACTAATTATTACGAACTACTATAATTCATTGATATTAGCAACCAACTTTTCCGAAGCACGAAGATTTCCAAGCGCCCAGGACACGGCGGGCGGCGCACGCGTCAATGGGAACTTGAACCTGAGCCGGGCCATTGGAGATTTGGAGTACAAGAAGTGCCTTGGTCATCCCTGGTTGGTGATTTATTGCTGGTTGGTGGTTTGGAACATGGCTTTTATATTTTCCATATATTGGGAATAATCATCCCAACTGACTAATTTTTTTAGAGGGCTTGAAGCCACCAACCAGATCGAAATTCATTGGTATTTTTGAGTTGAGTGGATGTATATAACTGATAGATTGGTTGAATTGGTCGATGATCAGGGTTTGTAGGAAGGAGTTTAAACTTTTAGTCAGAACATATATGCTCATATATGGGGATATGATTAATGTCAAATATGTTTTGGCTTATCACAAATCCGTTCTTAACCAGTCAGTAAAGGGACGACGTTGTAGGCTTTTGAACACCGCTCACTAGATGGATTGATTGTGGTTATGGGAACTGTCCCATCCCCCAGTTCATGTTGATTGCGGTACACCCCCCAATGAAAAAGGTTCCGAAGATGTGTAAATCACGCATTTTTCCTCACTAAACCTCGGGGTCTTCATAGCAGTCCTATCTAACTCAGCACTGGGATCCGGGGATCCACATCTCCGAGGCGCAGCGATTTGAAGCCTGAGGAGTCCGTTGGGCCAAGCTTTGGGACTTTGGGTGACGTTTTGGACAACGCGACTGGTGAAACGACTTGGTGATTCTTTGGTGTGAAATCAATAGCCTGCTTTCAACCAAGAGCATCTATACAAAGCCATTGCTGAAATTTAAGGGTTTGTCATGGAAAACTTCTTCGAACTTCACTGTAGAGATAGTTTTCAAGGGAAATATCCCTTGGCATTTGATACCCTTCGGTAATTCAACATGGCAATGTGAAATCCCTGGGCTAAATGAAATGGAGGATCTACTGGGAAAAGGGTGTTTCATTGGCTTGTTTTGTTTGGTTACCGGAAGCTATATTCCCAATTATTATCCCAGTTGTTATCCCAATTGTTATCCCAATGACAATACCCCAATGATTATACCCCAATGATTTTACCCCAATGATTATACCCCAATGATATCCCAATGATGTTCTTATAAATCTCCGTGTAAATCCCATTCGGAATATTCATGTTGATTCCGATCAAAAGGTGGCCACGAGGGTAACCATCACTTCGATCATCCAAAGAGGATCGAAGGAGTTGTTCTGCTATGAACAAGTGGTTGGTTTAAGGGAATACCTATATACAGGAAATCATTGACTCTAGGAGTTGTTCTGGCAGATTCCCTGCAAGTCTGCTGGCTAGGAGCTGATCACTTGATGGTCAGCATTCTATTGCTGTGTTGATTTCATTGAAATTCCCAGAAAGAATTTTCCCTCTGGTAAAATCGCATAACTGTGGAAAATCACCGTTCTTGGTAAATCATCCGCAAATATATGTCAATTTTCAATATGTAAGAATTTTCCAGAGTTTACAGGAGCAAACCATTTGCTCCACACCTGACATTGTCGTGCGAGAGCTCACACCAGCACCTAGGCGCACATAGGGGTGGCGTTTGGAGCTGCCAATAATTTACCCATGGCCAAGCGGGTTTGACACCCCCAACTTATGGTTATTCTCAGGGATAAAATGGTGGAGAGCGGAATGGTCAGAATGGTAAACCATGATAGACCGTAAGACACGCAAGACTTCTCAGTTCCTAATGCCATGGAGGGGTGTAAACTTCCTACGGGCAGGGGCGCCATCATCACAAGTTGTCCGCTAAAAGGTAGGGATGCACCGCAGCGTCAGCTCAGGAAGACGAGTTTATCGTCTTAGCTTGCGTCTTGGTCATGAATGTATGGGATGTGAATGGGCTCTTTTCAGCCATAGTTGGACGGAACAACACCGTACTGAACGTGTTTTTCAGGTTTGGTTTATTGTCATATGATTAGAAATCATGACCCGTGCGAGCATGTGGTTTTGTGTGAGGCCTGGAGAAGGGATGTTCCAGATTCCAGAGCAGTGAAGAAGAGAAGTCTCGCGTGGATGCAAAAGGTACAAAATAGGATTCGGATTTCAATGGTATGTCCAATTCTTCAAACCATTGCATGAATAGGACAGAGACAGCTTTACCACGTACCTGTGCGATCGCCATGACCGCTACTACGCTCTTTTCATACCAACAGCATCCAACAGCTATAGCTTGTAACTTGTATGTTTCTCTGGCTCACATGGTCAAGAATGAGATGATGCATCGTATTTCCAAATATCTTCCATGTATACCTCATAATGATGATACTCGAAATTGATAATCGTCCCATGTATATACTGTAACATCCCAGTCTAGTATTTTTAAAGCCTCTATTTGGATATGAATCTTGCAACTCTCAGTTCATAACATCCCAATAGACTTGGCATACTTGGTTACAAGTTGGGTGAGGAATCGGGCATGAGTCCCATCTTGAGGTGATGGCGTTTGGGATGTCATGTCCAATCAGGACTCTGGGTGCGCCGCCATAGCATGAAACAGCCATTTCAAGTGGAGAAAGTGGAGAAACAATGATCAACCTTTAGGTTCCATGGCTACCCATGGCTTTTTTTTTGGAGAAAACCATGGATCTCTAGGCAGGAATTTGTTCAATCTATATATATCCATAGGTCCATAAAGGTCATCCCAGCCGAGTGCCCAGGACATTTGCGACTTCATCCGGCCTCGCCTTGCCATGTGGCAGAAATCCGCTGCGCCTGTATTTTTCGGTGTGTTTGCTGATTCGGTAGAATTGACCAATAGAACAGTGAAACACCAACGAGATTGGAGGAATCAGCGTTTCGAATTTGTTTGCGATTGATCTAGGTTGGGGACATCACACATGCAGCCAGCACAAGTTGTGAGGACGCATAACACTGGCAACGAACGTTCATTTTACATAACATGAGTTTGCATATTGAGTATATATGAAGCAGTACGAAAGATTGATGGGATCCATAATTTATGTTTGGGATTCCTGGCAGCAAATTGAATCCATTTCCCCCCGCCACCAAAAAAACATGATCACATCCACGATAATATACTTGTACCTCCGTTGAAACACCAAATTTCTTGGCAATTGGAAGCAGTGCAAGGCCTATTTTGGATCATACAATCCTTTTAGTTGCTTCAATTCAACACTTCAACTTTCTGCTCGGCTCAATCTCAACTTTTCGGTGGTTTCAGTCCCCATTCGTAACTAATGTGAACCAAATCCCCCATGTCCCACACCGCTGTGTTGAATCATCCCTGCCCTAATGTGGTATACCCGATAAACAATCCCCCAGTCATCACCATTTTTACAGGTGGTATAAACCATTCCCAAATGGGTGGTTTATGACATTGTTTTAACCACATTCATACTATAACCAAGTTCACTGTCCCCAAATGGTAGGTCCATTCACGGCATTGGGTTGCCCACATTGGCCGCAAAGGAAAAGAGGATGGAGCTCAAGGACATCGCCGAGGAGGTCCTCGAACGCTGCTGCTCTGAGGACCGTGACATACGGGTGACTGCGACTGTAGGGACAGAATTGGACAGGTGATGTAGGAACATAGGCTCAAAGGGGGATAGGGGCCCATTTACGGGATGTCCGCCGTAGAGCAGCCATGAACCCAATGAGACAGGTCAGGCAGACTGCAACAAAACAGAAAGAGAAAGAACAGAAGAAAAGCAAACCTTTGGCAAGAAGCCTTCAAGAAGACTACTCAGGCAGCGAGGAGAAAAAAGATGAACACATGCAAGAATCAGAAGAAGAGTCAAGCAGCAATAGTCAATACAGTCGCTACAAATCCAAACACAAGACAGACAGACAAGACTCCCAGAGTGTGACGACCCAGCGTCGCATCTGGCAAAGGAAAAATGACTCCATTGACAGGATGAAGACGGCAACCCCAATCCGGCAAGGAGGATTCAAATCCCCCTTGACAAAGAAGCCAGAGACAATACAAGAAACCCCCAATGAGGAGAAAGAGGACGACAGAATTGAGGCACATTTACGACAACACGCGAGAGAAATAGCCAACCTGAAAGGACAGATTGCAGAAAACGACTACAAGACAGAAACAGTGCAAAGACAAACAGCCTACCTATTGCACAAGAACTCAAAAAGAGAAGAAGAAGAAGAAGAAGAAGAAGAAGAAGCAGGAATGCTTGCAACAATCTTTATCAAAACCTGACCATGACATTCACAGACAAAAAAGGAAGACTCTCAAACTACGCACGGCTTCGCTTCAGCAACCAAGGGTTGCGAGACCAATTCACATATCATTGGTACAAGCACATACCCAAACTACACAATACACTGCACTACTATGACCCTCATCACCGAAGAAGCACAAACGACAAACTCATCGTGCGAGCGCAATTCTCACAAGAAAGGATGATGAGAAGTGCTTTCATCAAGGCAGGAAAGGAAGTACTTAAGGCCTTTGGTCTCGAAGAAAACATTTGGATGAACGCAGATGCCTGCACAATCTCGGATGACAAAGGGCTTCTCCTTTGGATCGTCTTCAGGCATTCTACAGCCTCAGCTGTCGTCTTTGCAGACAAAACACAGTGTTCCAACCCATCCACGACCACTTTGAGGAAAGCCTTTGGCGAATTCGCAACAACAGAACAGGAAAAGGTCAAGGAGGAGAAGAACAAAGACCAGCAGAAGGCAAAGGTAAGGAAAAGGGAAAAACAAAGGACTCCAAGGGCAAAGTGGGAAGGGCAGCTTTTGACTTCAACTTCGATTACCGACGCCCATTCTACATCAAGTATGTCAAAGTGGACAACTGGGAGACACACAAGGATATACAATACGAAGAAGACTACGTAAAGACAGTGGAAGAAAAGCTTTGGGAAGAAGCAGGTATGGATACAGAGGAGTGACGCCAGGATACAGTATGTGAGAAGCCTTTCAAGGCAACATATGAGAAGGCATCTTTGCCACCCAGATATATGAGAAGCGTCAACGACGCAACAGGAAATATAAGAACTCTTTCGCGGAAAAAAGCGTTCGCGCGTTGCATGAAAGTTATCCAGAGGGTACCCTCACAAGGAGAGCCGGGAGGATCGCGCAGCGCACCCATGCTAGCAGTGTCCACAAACCCTACGCCCCCACATCTGCACAGATCCAAGGGAAACCTCAGAAACAGCACAACTAAAAAACAAGACGCGGAAAGAGAAATAAGAAGCACGCACAGGAAAGACTTGCAGAGAAAAATCTACATAGAAAACAAAACCGTAAGACATGGAGACTGATAAAACACGCAGATGTAACTCTAGTGCGCAATCTGGTTGCGGGCTCACTTGTTCCAACAGCAACCCAGGAAACCGCTACAGCCAAGAATGCACAAAACCAAAGTTTCCCAAACCAAACCTCCGGGAAGGACCTTCTCAAGACCTTTTCAAAACAAAAGCTCGCCTGCAGTACAAAAGACATGTTCATGAGAGATGTTCGGAGGTCAGGCCGCTGATTTCCTGAGAGGGGTTGCATTTTGGAGCATCAGGTCTTCAGGTTTGCTGAGATGATGTTGTCAAGTTCAAAATTTGAGGACGTCTCGCAGAATTGCTGAGTTTTTGATGTTGTCAAGTTCAAAAACTGAGGATGACTCGCAGAATAGCTTCGTTTTCAAACTTGCAGATAGATAGATAGATAGAAAGATAGATAGACAGACAGACAGATAGATAGATAGATAGACAGACAGAGAGATAGAGAGACAGAGAGATAGATAGATAGATAGATAGACAGATAGATAGATAGATAGATAGAGAGATAGAGAGATAGAGAGATAGAGAGATAGAGAGATAGAGAGATAGAGAGATAGAGAGATAGAGAGATAGAGAGATAGAGAGATAGAGAGATAGATGGATGGATAGATAGATAGATAGATCGGTAGGTAGGTAGGTAGGTAGGTAAATAACCAGAGAAAGAGAAAGAAAGAGAGAGAAAGAGAGAGAGAGAGAGAGAAAGAGAAGAGACCTGGCGCTCCATCAGCGGCTTCGCTTTGTTATCCGTGATTCACAACAACCAACCTCTCCTATAGGTTTCCTATTTTTGAAACTTCCGCCACCGCCTTGTGCGGTACTACTGAAACTGAAAGTGGACCTGATATTGCTTTTGATACAGACCATGCAGTTTTAACCACAAACATTCGAACCAAACTTAGAAAGAAAGACTGCTCGAAACGACGAAAGACTGCCAGATTCAGAAACCCAAACCAGCAGGCAAAGATGAGATTCAACGATGAGATCCGAGCAAATTTCGACTTTTGTTCATCCCGGGCCGGTGTACAAGTGAACAACAAGAATTTCTCACAAGCAATCAAACAGGCCGCAGAAAAGTTTCTAACCAAAATACCTACCGAACAAAAGCAAGCGTACTTATCTAAAGCAACTTGGGATTTGATTGAAAATAGACAAGCGGCTCGGGCACAGAGCAACTCAGACCTTGAACAGCAACTCAATGCAGCCATCAAGAGATCAGCAAGATGCGACAAGAAAAAGTGGAAACTGAGGATGCTCGAAGATTTTTCATCCGCCAGGGCAAAATGGAAAGGCGTTAAGCTTGAAAAGTCTACATTTAAACCTTCTTTTTATAAGTTAAAAAAATATTCATTGCCAATCAGTTCCACTAGACAAAAAAGCCGACGCGCTAGCGGAATATTTAGAACGACATTGGGTGTGTATCCAACACCTACCACCAGACAAGGTAGACAAGAGAGAAGTAGTGAACACGCAACCACCTATCAATATAGGATCCATCACGATTGAGGAGGTACATGATGCTTTACGCTCATCAAAAACAAACAAAGCCCCAGGCCCAGACAGCCTCACAATCGAATTGTACAAATATCTAGACGAAGACAACATGAGGTTGCTGGCGAGAATCCTGAACCAAATGTGGACTGAAGAGTCGTACCCTGATGATTTGCCTACGCAGAAGTTGTTTCTATTTTTAAAAAAGGCAACCCAGAGCTTCCTGAACACTACGGTCCTATTTCTTTGCTGAACTCATCATACAAAATTTTGACCAAAATGTTGCACAAAAGAATTGCAGACGCCGCTGATCAGTTTGTAAGTGACACGCAATTTGGATTCAGGAGGGGCAAAAGTACTTCAGAACCTCTAACCTACAACAGAAACAATCAAATAACGTTCGCAGATGGGCAAAAGTTGAAAAGTGTGGACAAAACTATCTATTTGGGAACGCAGATCAGTAAAAGGGTGAACCCTAAGATTGACATCAATCGACGCATCTCGAGCACAATGCCGATACTGAAAAGACTTGACTTGTTCTGGAAACAAGCGCGGGTGCCAACCAAATGGAAAATTCAAGCATTTAACGCAGTTTTGTGTTTCCAAACTCTTGTACAGCCTGGAAGCACTGCAACCAACAGAAGCTGCGGCAAGTAAACTGGATACTTTCCAATTAAAAGGTCTCAGAAAAATCTTGAAAATGTCCACAACCTACATCGACCGAGCAAATACCAACCATGAAGTCTACAGACGTGCTAATTTGGAAATTGGCCTAGGCGCAGAGGAAAGCATCCGTCCGTTAAGTGATGTTCTACAGGAAAAGCGAAGAAAAGTACTGGGGCATATAATCAGAAGACCAAGAGATCACCCACAACATCAAGCCACTTTCGCTACAAGAAATCTTTTGCCACAACAAGTTGAAAACAGAAGGGTGGGTCGCCCTAGAGCGGCGTGGACGTATGAAACAATGAAAGATTGCTGGCGCAGAAAATTTCACAATATACCATTTCAAGTACAGAACAGGCAGCACCGTGAACAAATAAAAACATGGGCTCTCAACCGAGAAGATCCTTTTTGATGTTTTTTTTCCCACCTTTAGGACGAACAGCTGCTGTAGTGGTGCCAACGGGTCTCACCCAGACCTATGGTTTTGAAAAAATGTATGAAAATGTAGGAACATGGTATGATGGAAATCCGCTTGGGGAAGATAAATGGAGTTTTCCTAAAATGGGGGTACCCCCAGTTATCATCCATTTTGATAGGATTCCCCAGCTGTCATCCATTTTAATAGGATTTTCCCTGATTTTCCATGATAAATTAGAAAGCTATCGGGGTACCATGGGGTACCCCCATGACTATGGAAAGCCCCAAATGAACATCATCGGAGCACTGGGGAAACGTGGGATCAAAGCAGCCCCGGGAAGAGAATGGGGATGCTTTTTGGGATGAAACTCGAATCTTCGAGGTAAATTTGGTGACATTGGTTTTAGTCCTAAAGGATTGATACATATATATATATATATTTTTTTTTTTGGGGGGGGGATTGATATTATTTAATGAGGATAATTTTATGCATGGCTAAGATCTTGAGATATCTTGAGATTCCACCTGCAAAGTGTGCATATTCACTAGCAAGGAATCAACAGAAACCGGTGTTACCCTCCGGTAATCAGTGGCAATTGGAAATCCACTAGAAATGGTGGTTTCAATAGGAAAATAACCTATAAATAGTGTATTTTCCATTGCCATGTTTGTTTACCGGAGGATATACAGTAACCGGCAAAAAATGCAGATGAACTGACTGCTTGGGGACTGTACGCTAAATGTTCATGTTCGGCCCAGCGATACGTCCCAGGCATCCGCCAAGCCGCAGTACGTACATCCCTAAAATCCAATAGTTTATGACCGGTTTGTTGCTCTTAACATTCCCATTTTGGGATGCAAATCTTCGACAAACCAGGCTCACAATGGATAGCAGCAAAATGAATAGTGATCGTGGATTTGCTGAAGATCATTATCTATTTATTTACTCAACCCATTGTTTCATCAACTATCTGGGTGACTTTTGTTAATGAGTTTACTTTTTAGTGCACGCTCAAGCAAATCCAAGCGATTCATGATATCATGATTATGTTTTTGCGAATCAACCCGCCTCTTCAAGAGCTTCTTACAAGGACCTGCACAAGATCATGCAAAGGCCTGACGCATTCCACTAGGATCTCCACAAGATCTCGTCGCAAGGAATCGTAAAAGACGTTGACCAAGATCTCCATGTCAGGACCCCTAAGAGAATCTCACAAGATCGTCATAAAACGACCTCCTGCTGCTGCTGGAGCGGATCTTACAAGATCTTGATACAACAACCTCTCAAAACCTTCCCGCAAGAGCTTTCATACCAGCATCTCCAAGACATGTCATCTGCAAGATCTTCGCACAAGGACCTCTTAGAGAGGACCCCACCAGGATCTCCACAAGATCTTCTGCTCATCATCATCATCATCATCATCATCATCATCATCATGATCTTCATCGTTAATAACCATTAATAACAATTAATAACCATTAATAATCATTGATAACCATTGACAACCATTCTATAATAACCATTGATAACCATTAACAACCATTATTTAATAACCATTGATAACCATAAACAACCATTATATAATAACCATTGATAACCACTGATAAACCACTACCATCATCATCATCACTCGCCACAGTAGGCACCGCAAATCTCACCCCAGGACCCAGCCAAAACAAATGGCCTGGGCACTGACAATATGACCGTCGCTGGGTAGGTTGGATGCGGACGTAATGCCATGAGGCACCTGGTGGTTTCTCAAACATGGTGGATCCCCGGTGGATCCCCAAGTCACCAAAGGTTTCAATACTAAAATGGTTTCAATTTAAATGATTTTCGGGGTACATCCATTTTAGGAAACCTCCATTTTGGTCCGGGGTGGAGTTCTACTTGTTGAGAAGTCCCTGTCTATTCCTCCTCAAATCCTTACCTTGGGATTCGAGACATCTTCGGCACAGCTGTGTGGCAGCAGTTCATCAATGGAATTGGACTCTGACCCGAACTGGGTTGTCTCATCAAATACTGTGATGTATTGTGATGTGTATATCCATGTTACATCTGTTTGCGGTCATTTCAACGATCATCGCGTTATTTTCGTTTAGGTGTGTTTTTAAATAAGTGATTATTTTCAAATATCATGTCAACGTAAGTGATTATCATTGTTGTTATTTTCTGTTTCGGGTGCATGCAATTGCATGCACTTCCTAAGGAAAAAATGTGATGAAAACTACGGATGCACACGGCATGACAAGCCATGGATGAAAGTCGGCCGTGTCGCAGCTGAGGTGATCATCGTAAAGCTCAACGAGTCCTCAACATGGGCCGTGGGCGCTGAGTCGTAGGCGGTTCAATCAGGCTACTTCGCAAAAACAGACATGAAACCCGGTAAACAATTTTTGGAAGAATTGTTTTCTAGCTGAAAGAGATCAGAATTTGGGATGACTTCACAAAAACTGATGTTTTTTGGACTGCTGGACGCCTTCTCGTCTTTCGACGTTTGGACTGGGTCAAGTCCAAATCCGTCTCTTTGGTTCGCACTGCGAACATGGCTTTGTGCTTGCGACCAGGACATGTCCAACTCAGGAAATGTGCGACAGCAAATGCTGGTTCAAATCAAATACTTCATCCGTGCAATGCGATCACCCTCCCAGTTTTGTTTGTTTGTTTACAGCCGAATCTAATCTAAACAGGGTTATTAATTGAACACGTTTCAAGTAAACCCTAGCTCACCTAGGCAAATCAACCAACTTAGCGACCTGGGGCACTACATTGAAGTTATCCGGAAGTCAGCGCTCAATGAATCATTGAGAGGTTCAAGCGAGACACCCTGGAAAACAGCCATGCAATGGAACTACTCAATGCGTATAGAGTCATGAGTTCTTACTGAACAGATCCAAAGTTTATGAGTTTCCGTGCGTTTTGTTGTGTTGTAATGTGTATTTTCCCATGGGTATGGAAGGTTGGGGTCGAGAATGCTCCAAAGCCCTTGCATTGTGAGATTATGCGTCACACTTATTTCACGCAATGTGGACATGTCCAAGTCAACCTAATATCCGTTATTTCAGATAGTTCCAAGAAAGGGAAAAATACAGGAAACGCTAATCTTTGCAGCTCAAAACCCTTTGCAGCTCAAAACCCACGGTTTCCTGTAGATTTTTCTTTAGACCAATCCGTTGAATAGTTCATTCAAAAAAATGCGCGGACCGCTGGGGGGAACTCCATCAGAGTCAACTGGAGGGATTGGTGTCCTTGGTTTCGAAGGAAATTGGAAGCGGAACCCAGAGATGGATGGGTCATGGCATCCCATAGCTGCGTGGCAAGAGTCTCTACAAACATTGCAATTAATGGGAAAAAAACGATTGATTGCACATAATTAAACATGATGATATCCGCTACCATGTTTGATCACCAGAAGGCTTATATTTTTTGTGGTTGATCACCGGAGGGTTTATATTTTTGTGGTTGGATCTTTTTTGATGATGGCCACGCAATTTGTTGATATCACCACGTTTTGGTAGTTAACCCATATGCTGCGTGCATCATGTGCATTTTTTTTAAAGTTATATTTTTGTGTCATTTCGAGGGAACATGTTGGCACATATCTAATACGTGGAGCATATATGTTTTCGCTTGAAACAGGGTAGTTGCCTCAATTCCAATACATGTTTATCATGTTCCCTTTTTTAAATGGCTATTTGGCTTGCCCATACCCCATGTTCAGACACACCCAAATATCATATCAAGCTATGGATATGTCCCCATGATATATCCCCATGGGCATTTGGGTCAGTGAACAGTAATAGGGATACAATAAAACTTTCATAAGGATCAGCGTCCCCAGTCTTTCAAGGTCTGGTCCAACTCTGCACTTCTTGCCTTCGGTGCCATTGGCGCAGTCACTGTGGCAACGCGTCGGAGGGTCAGAGCCTTGGGACCTTAGCAATGTTGCTTTGGATGTTTGGTATTTTCCTACTGGAAATGAGTCGCTTTTAGGTCGTTTGTCTTTAAAACCGGTCATGATTTGAGACTTAATCAGATTTGATGGTGACTTTTCAGCTGCTTAGTGAGCAGTTTTGATTTGTAGTCAACCCCCCGGTAATTTAACATGGCTAGCTGGAAAATCCCCTAGTGGGAAAATCATGTATAAATACACTATGTGGATTTCCCAGAAATCGCCATGTTATCGGAGGATATCCACGGATCTTTTTCTGCCCAGGTGACACGCCAAGCCGATGAAAAGGGAGAAGAATTCATCGACTACGACCCAGAGGACCTTTTCTTACCCGGCGTGGGTCTGGGAGGCACGGGAAAATTATGAAAAATGATGAGCACATGACGAAGATTAAACATAGACAGCAAACAGAACCGGCTTCGAAATCTGTGTGAATATGATGTTTTCTGTTTGGATCTTCGTTTGAATTCATTGTTGATTGGAAAACAAATCGGGGATGCTCCAGCCCAGCTGCGCCCCAGGTCCAATAGATTGCTGCGCAGGACTGGGTGAAGCGAGTCAAGATGATTGAAGGACAACGTGCCTTATTCGATGCGACCTGGCATGGTTTTTCCAGTGACAGCAAGGGAAGGACCGATTGGGTCCTAATTGCTATGTTGGTTGATGTTGTGGATCTTTAGTTGATTTGGGTTGATTGGTGTGGTCCGGAACCATCATCGGATTATTCAAGGGAACATGTGCAGGAAATCCATGAACATCTGATTATGTTTTCCGATGTTTTCCATCAATATGCAAAGGGGCGTGGTTCTGAAAATTGTCTGTGAACCAACACGATGAAGCTAGAACAACTTGTGCATTGTTGCAAAGGCCTCAGCGACAGTGTAACTGCAGTTTGTGAGGTGTCACCAGCAAGAGTCATATCACTGATGTATTGCGTATTGCGTTTGTTTTCTGGTTGGTGGCTTGCAACATTTTTTGTTTTCCATAATATATGGGATAATCCTTCCCATTGACTAATATTTTTCAGAGGGATTGAAACCACCAACCAGTTTTTGTTTGTTTGTTGACATGGTTTTACCGTTTTACCTTTCTGAACAACCAACCATGGTGGCTGTCGCCATCAATGCTTTTGAATGCTGTCCCGGATCAACTCTCCTCTCTCCTCCCTCCTCCCTCATCATCATCATTATCCTGATGTTGTAATAAATAATGGATAATAATGGAACATCATGTTAATTACAATCAAAACTTCATATACAACAATGATAAGCAAATGGTTTAGCTTAAATCCTGATGATATTATCCTGGTTGGTGGTTTGGAACATGAATTTGATTTTCCATATATTGGGAATGTCATCATCCCAACTGACGAACTCATATTTTTAAGAGGGGTAGGTATACCACCAACCAGTATCTATTTATTCATTTATTGGAGGTCACCTTCAGCAAATCCCAGTTGAAGATTGTTACAATGATAATACTTGTTTTGCAAATCCTGACTTATTTACCAATCAGTACCAATAGGAATAGCATTTTTTTTGTTACAATAATAATCCCAATTCATGGTGCTTATTTACCAATCCTGATGATATTACCATAGGAATAGCAAGGTTCCCATGTTGCCCCTGGTTCCCATGTTGCCCCTGGTTCCCATCCCATGGATCATCCCAGGTGACCATTCCAAAACCCCTGGGGCTGGTTCCAGCCAACTTCCCCAACCGAGTCCCGGCAAGTTTCATGCTTAACGGGTAGGAAATCCAACCGTTACACGTGCGTTCTCAACATGTGATATGGATGTGGTAGAACAAATGTGGGAACATCATGAGAAACATTGGATATAGTGGGATTACATATATATATATATATATATATATACACTGTACTGGCCGGTGGTTTGACATATGTTTTTTGCCCATTCTGGTGGTCCGCATTGACTGGTTGATATTTCGCGGGAATTGAAACCACCAACCAGAGAATCATGGAAATTTCTTCGCATAGCACCCTGGGTGATTTTGGTGGAAAGCAAGTGCGGTTCTTTGTATTGTTTTCCCAACACCCAGGGCCAGGGAACATCTTTTTGCCGCTTACGCTTTGTTGAGTTACGTCCTAATGCTCGCGTCTGTGAGCGCACGGATGTTGTGTAACATCCCTCAACAGAACCGTCAGTAGTGATCCGGGTGGTAAGGGATTACCGTCACAAGCATTTGGATGACCCATGAAAGGCCAGGTATTCCACAAGCTGCCCCGGGCATGTTTTTACAAAGGTCCCCAGTTGCTGATCTGCACAGTGCTGATTTAGATTGGCCAACGGTATTAAGTCACTCAGCAGTCGCAGGCTGGAAGTTGTTCACCAAATATGTGGTTTCATCCCCTACATCCACCATGGTTTCTGGGGGTTGTTCAATATGAAGGGGGGATGGGGGTATTATATAACCATATTAAATTGGAAAATCAGCTAAATAGGTATATAAAAGCTGTCCTTGGCTCGCCTTCAGCAAGATGCTGAACACCCGGGTCCCGGAGAGGGCGATGGAGAGAGAGAGAGAGAGAGAGAGACAAGAGAGACAGAGAGACAAGAGAGAGAGGGAGAGGAGAGACAAGAGCGAGAGAGAGAGAGAGAGAGAGGAGAGGAGAGGAGAGGAGAGGAGAGGAGAGGAGAGGAGAGGAGACGAGACGAGACGAGACGAGACGAGACGAGAAGAGAAGAGAAGAGAAGAGAAGAGAGAGAGAGAGAGGTATATGAAATGAAATAAAATCATATGAAACCATATGCAATCATATAAAATCATATGAATCATTTGCAATCACGTAACATCATATGAAATCATATGCAGTGAAATAGAATCATATAAATTCATATGAATCAATGAAACCATAAAAACATATATATATATATATGACATCAAAAAACATAAATCACATGAAATCATATAAAACCATATGAAATCATATCCAATCATATAAAATCACATAAAAACCATTTAAAGTCATGTGAAATCATTAAACAAACATATAAAAATCATATAAAATCATAGGACATCAATTAAAATCATATCAAATCATTTGAAATCATTTAAAATCATACATATAACATCATATGAAATCATTTAAAACCATACATATAAAGTCATGTTAAATCATTGAAAACCTTATAACAATCATATGAAACCATATAAATTAATATATTATAACAGTATAGTGCCCCTAAATAACTGGGAAATCAACCATCTCAACCATGTCTGGATGCTCCCCAGTAAGGACCTGGCGTGGGCGTGGCGAAGATCAATCCGGACCGGCGAGACGCAACGCCTTGGCGGAACGTCAACTGGGACTTTACCCTCTGGTAAACATACAAAAAACGATGGAAAATCACCATTTTTAATGGGAAAACTCACTATAAATGGCCATGTTCAATAGCTATG